TTTATTTATTATTTAAGTGTTTTTTTATAACATTATATTTTGTTTTGATGTAAAATTTGAGATGTTGCTTATTTTCGAATATTAAGTAATTTGAGGGTTGCTTATTTTCAGAGGTTGCTTATTTTCGGAAGAATACGGTAATTATTATACCACTAAATTAAATTTCACGTGACTTGTAAAATTTGTATGCAAAACATTGCTATAAAAAAACATATTAATTTTTTGATGTAAGACAATAAAATTTTATTTTTCTTTAAGTACTTTCTATAATAAAATCTGTGCTATCTATATAATAAATCTTTATATTATTTATTATAATTCTTTTGATAATAGCCAATTTCATTACATTTTTTATATTTTCATTATTCACGTTCACAAATTGCTTTAGCTATATTTATTTTTACATAATTGAATAAATCTTATTCAACAATTTGGTTAATATTTGTAAGTTCTTTCAAGGGTTTTTTATTTTATCAATTTTCTAAAACAAATGATCTAGGCAAAAAAAATATATAAAAAGAAGATCAAATTCTAAAATAAATGATCTAAATGAAGAAAATATATAAAAGGAAGATTAAATTCTAAATAAATGATCTAGGTGAAGAAAAAATATAAAAGAGAGATAAATCCCAAAATATATGAACCAGGCAAAGAAAATGTGTTGAAAGGGTGATCAAATCCCAAAATATATAAACCATATGAAGAAAATATATAAAAGACTAGGTCTCCTTTCTCTCAACTTAACAATCTCAAATTTTTTCTTTTGAAAGATTTAATATAACTAAAAAGAATAATTTAATAACCTTTATATCTTAATACTAACTCTAATCCTAACATAAATAAAAAAAATGGTTTAACAATCTTTATACTCTAATACTAATATTAACCCTAATTCTAACCTTAACTTTAAGATACTCTAAAGCTAAATTCACTATAATCTAATATTGTAATTCAAAGTAAAAAATAAAATACATTTATATTAATGTCTAAAGAGTCATTAATAAAAATCTGCTTAAATTTATTTATAATGCAATTTATGAATAAAAAGTATATGAAGTAAAGGTAATAATTGAATTTTTCAAAAAAATGTTAAGGTGAATGAAGTAAATGAAAGAGAAAATTTGAGAAAGGATTAATAAGATAGGTATTCAGAATTATATTATTTTAGTAGTCTATTTTCATCATATGATTAAATACATGATTTTCAAAAAATTCAAAATTCAAAATTTTAAAATTTAAAAATTCAAAATTCAAATTTATATATAAATGATAATAACCGATAGTTAATCATAGATTTTTCTTTTTTATTAATTTAAAACTTTAAATTAAATTAATTAATTTAATTTTTTAATATTAATTAAATTATAATCTAAATTTTTTAGATTAATTTTTTTATAATTTAAATTGAATAATTAATTTTAATTTTTAGATTAATTAATTTGTCTGAAACTTTAAAAAATATTTTTAATTAAGGGTAGAGTATATGATGTCATCATAAATATATAACTATATGGCAAAAAAAAATGTTAAAAATTATTTATACATAATGCTAGCTAAAATTAATTCTGGCTTACATTAACAACTTTACAACTTTGAAATAAACTGTTTTAACCATTTTTTAATGATTATATTACTATTACTATTATTGTTGTTATTACTATTGTTATTAGACTATTATTGTTATTATATTATTGTTATTATATTATTATTGTTATTATTGTTATTATTACTATTACTACCATTATAATTACTTGCTCATTATTACATGTAATTATTATAGCACTTATTGACTAATTTTTATTAAGTATCGCCAATCTTCAGTATTAGCCTTAGCAATAGCTCCATCTGTAATACTAATAATAAAAATGCTACAAGTAAATGTTTGTGCTGTTAGTGATCTTGTTAAGATTATATCCTCTTTTACAAGATCATGTAAAACTAAATCATCTAATAACAAAAATGCATCCTCTTTAGTTTTGAGTTTTCTTAAAAATTTCTCTAAGTAAATTGGCAGTTCTCCAAACTTGTTTTTAATATTCTTTGCTTGAGACTGATGGAATACATCAACTACATTATTTCTTGTTATCTGTTGTCTTTCGTTCGTAATAATCTCTATTATCTCCAACATTTTTTCTACATCTGTTCAGATATCAATCCAAGATGGATTATCAGATACATGATGAAGATAATTATCACAAACATTGCATTCATTTGATATATTTGATGTTGAATCTCCTGGCTATGCAAAATAATTAATAAGTGTCTTTTTTCTATATTGATAAATTGAAGAACAGTAAAATAATATCTCCCAAATTTTATGTTTTGCTTCAGATAAATATTTAGTACACCTTATTGATTCCACCTCTTCCCCTTTATTAGTATTAATACTTGTAAGATTTACATCAGTAACGTTACAATTAATTTACCATAAATACTATACATTTCATTAGATAATATGTTGAATTTACCTAGATTGTCTATTTAAATAAATTCCCATTATTATTCTAATGTCTTTTCAGCTATACATAATAATTACCTTTACAGATAATCCATCACGACCTGCATGTTCACTTTCCTGTACTAAATTACCTATAAAAAAAATATATATATTAGATATATTATTAGCATCAACTTTTATAGTGATTTTTTTTAACTTACTTATAGACATCAGGAAACCTACATGAATTACTATACGAACATCTGGAATATTTATACCCATTTCAAATGTGTTAGTGACAACCATTATTTGAAATTTTCTAGATCTCCAATCTAAAAGAATAGCTGATTTTTGTTTAGCAGATAATTCATCATGATATATAGCAATTGTTTCTTTGGAAATTTTGCTTTGAAGCTCAGTGGTAATATTTTCATAACTCTTTATAGAAAGGCAATATAAAATGCATTTTTCAGTCTCTATTTCATTATAAATATTAATAATGTCATTCAAAAATTGTTCTTTGTTTTCCTTTTTTTTTCGTACTTTATAAATAATTTGATTATCCTCAAAAGCTATGTTACGAATAAGAGAAGTTTGTTGATAGTCTATTTCAAGTCTTGTGGTAATTTCCTGCAAATCAATTTGACGGCAAGTTGCAGTAAGAAGCAAAATAGATGCAAAAAAAAAAATTTCTTTAAGATTTTTAAGATAAGCCCACAATTTACTAATAAAATAATTTTAATTAGATAAGAACACTAAATTAAAAAAAATATTTAAAATAACTTACCAAAAGTTTTCTTGATCTAAAATGCAATGCGTTTTATCTACTACAAATCTGATACCATTTGTTGTATCATACCTTTGTAGTATTGATCTGAAGCCTGTATTCATTTGAAACTTCTTGGGAGTTGTAAATATAATTTTTGTTAATCTACAAGCAATTTCTTCAAAAACGTTTTTTTGATATTGCAATGGTTGTTCTATTGATGTATAAAGACTACCACAAGAAATTCCTGCTTTGATCGACTCCATTACTTGATCATCTATAAGTGCTTTTAGAGGAGAAAATACTATGGTAATTCCTTATAAAAGAATAGCTGCTATAGTATAACACAAACTTTTACTATCTCCTGTTTGTTTTATAACAATTATATCTTGATTTTATGCAAAAGATTGAATTGCTTCTTTTTGTCTACTTCAAAAATTATTGAATTGGTATATATCACGTAATGCTGATGTACACATCAGTTTAAAGCTAATATTATTGGGTTTTTCAATTTTAGATTGATAATTTTATCAACAATTCGATTTCATAATACATTTTCGATATAGAAATGACAAACATAACAAAAACCTTTTGCTGTACATTTTGGAAATGCGTGACAAGTAACACATTTTATTATTTCATCAAAATCTGGTATTTGTAAAGCAAAAGAAGGATAGAATTGATTTGTATCAATATTGCATTGAGCTTTTTTGCCATAAGGTATAAGTTCCTATTGAAAAAATATTTATAACATAAATAAATATATATATGTATATTTAATAATAATTAATTAATGAATAATGATATAGATTATCTGAGACCAGTCAAATGTTTCAAGATCTTCTCGTTTATTTTTCAATTCATTTGCTCGTTCTTGATTTTATTTTTAGATATTTGTAACATTATGTAAACGTTGCTGATTCTATTCTAATTCAATCTTACTTATATCGATAAGATCCTGATCAGACAAAACAACATTGCATGCCAAACGAGTCACATTCATCATTTTGCAAATTTCTTCATTATTATGTAAAATTGCTAGAGCATGTCTTACTGGATATGACTTCTAATAATCAATTCTCTTGTCAAGATAAACTAGTTTAAGTCAGTTAAATGTTTTATTTTGTGATATGTGAGTTTTTATGACAATATCTTGGTTGATAGGAAGACGAAAGATTGTCTTTAATATGGATTTAAATTTTTCACGTTGATAAAGAGTATAGAATTTGAGAGTAGGCTCTGAAAGTTGCAGCTCAGGATTATTCTTTATCCAACAGACTTTTGGTCAACACAATTCATGATTATCACAAAGATATTGAAAAAGACCTTCTGTCTGTACATTACAAATATCTTTTTCCTGTATAGAACAATTTTCTTTCTCACTTTTTTGAATACTTGCAGCATATACATAGCTAGTAAAATAAAGCATAATATGTTATTCGAAATCACGCTATTGAGGAAATTTGTTCACTATAAAATGTATGACAGTCAGATTTTGTTTAAAAAATTAATAGTCACTTAATAAAAATTATTTACTTAATATAAGTTTTTGCGAATATTTTTAGTAACATACTTAAAATTAGCAAAAATTTGGTTGACAACTGCAACATTTCCTAAGGTTTTGTTAGAATCCAGATCACTATCAATAGTAACATTTATAAGCATATTGTGTTCTTCTAAAATTGGAGTTAATTTTCCAAGAATACTAATTAGAATAGCGTGTTCCATCTGATGAGAATTCAAATCAAAGTTGCCTTCTCTTATAATTTTATCTTCTCCATCCTATTTTTTTATTTTTTGGGATTTTTCAACAATGTGAAATGCAATCACAGGTTTGTAAAAATATCCTAATGCAGAAAAGTATACTAATAAGTAATTACAAATCAAAACAAAATTTTTTTTAAAAAAAAGAATATATATGATATTTACCTACATCTTTACCATCATATATTATTTCACCACTAGCCTATTGAGCATTACAAACATGAGATTAAGAACAATCAAAACTTACAGGCAGAGTACATTTTCCTTTTATTTTGCAATAATTAATTACTTTTTGTAAAGCTATTTTTGTGCTTATTTTGGCTGACTTCATAATTTTTTCAAAAGTCATAGCTTGGTAATTATAGTAAGAAGCTTTACAGAGTTGTGATATAACATCTGCATATATAAAAGTCATTTGTAATGATTGTCTATTTATTCTGCCAACTAAATCTGCAGCAGCGAAGCAAGCATTAAAATTTACTTCTGCTGATTCGTTAGAAAATTCTTTAACCGTCTTACAAACTTGACATTTAATAAGTATTTTTATAGAGAGTCCTGCTGTTAAAATATTCCATTTTTTGTTAATGATTTTTGTTTCTCCACATGAATCACAAGATTGCTGTAATACCAAAAAAAGATATTATTCAGTGCTTATCAATAATGTTGAGTCAAGCTTTTCTTCTTTTATAGAGTCTTGAATTATTAATGCTAATAATTTGTCATCATTATTATCCTCTTCCTCCACGATATTAAAATAATGATCACGTTGTACTTTTAGCTATTTGATTTGCCAATTAGCATTATATTGTTTATTTTTTGTCTGTTTGTGTTCAAATAATACCATATAAAAACTTTCTGAACTCACTGGCTTCATATCACTGGTTATGCATATGCTATCACGAACTAATTTACCTGTTGATGTTGATTGTAATTCTGATCGAAGGCATTTTCCTTTTTTTTAATTGTTTCAATCATTTTTTTATTATTTCTTGCACTTTAGTAAAAACTTGCTATTCGGGATATAGCTCAGGATATTTTTTATATATTGAATCTTTTAACAATCTGACAATAGATAAAATATTAATACATATTGTAGAAGAAATTGATAATTTACCACCAGGTTTTATATATCTTATAAGACTTCAAAAACGATCAAGTTGAGAATCTGATACTATAGAAATAGTAAGATTATTTTCGTCTATTCTAAAATCAACCCAAGAAAATAATAGTTGCTGATTGGAATATTCAATGAAAAGTTTAAAATATTGTTTCCAAAAGCAGTATAAATTGTATAGCCAGGTAAAAGTGATACTCAGGTCTTTTCATTATCCACTTTGATATGATAATATCCTGCTTGAGAATTAACAGTTATATCTTGAAATTGTTCATGTATATCAACAACTTGCCAGAGTTGTGAAGTATCTAACACAAAATGTGTATTATTTGTTTGAGTAAAAACCTGATATTTGTTATTAAAAGAGAGATTTTAGTACCATCGAAGCACAGCCATTTTCTAACATACATATACATATATAAATATATAGATTGTGAATATACTTTTTTTAAAAAATAAAACAACCAAATTTTATTATTTTGAATCATAGTTTTGACTCAGAATATAATTTTTTTGCATATATCTTAATTTTCGTGAACAAAGTTATATTTTATATAAAGAATTCGCTAGAATTTGTGACCTTAGATGATAATTAAACCAAGTTTTTTAGGCTATCTCATTAATAACATATATTCATAATATATCATTGGATAGCTCAAGTTTTGCTGAGTCAAATAAGATATAAATTATTTGCATTTTGCAAAGTTATACAAACTTATAATTGTGATAATATTTTGTAAATCTATATCATGTGATTTGCCATAAGTATGATAATGTTATATATGCTACCTTTAACTTTATTTTTAGACTTTAAAGATAAAAATAAAATAAAATAAATTATTTAATAAATCAAAATTTTAATTTATTTAAGAAATTTAAAGTAAATTATTGATATAATTTTTAAATTAGTTTAATTCAAATTAATTTTTTATATTTATAATATAAATTAAATTAATTTAATTTAATTAATTTTTTAAATAAAATAATTAATAAATAAATTATATTTTTTACTTATAAATTTAAAAAAAATTCTAATAAGAAGACTTATATATATGACGTAATTATGGGTTAATATAGAACTGGACTCTCTCTCTAGTGAGATTATGATATTACATGATCATAAATTTTGATCAATCATTATCATGAGTGTTACACATAATTAGAATTAATAGTGATCATACTGAAAAGATATATAAAAATATATACAAGTGAAATGAAATCAATCTCTAGGGTCATTTTATTTTATTAATACAGTGTAAACAAAGTTAGTTAGCATTTATACTATATATATACTAAGTATCTTGAATTTGTCACATATAATCTAGTATATTTTTTTATGAGAACACTGATTATAAAATTAATTATCATTATAGTACTGATTAATATATCTTTGCTTAGTATATATTCTGACATTCGCTTAGCTAGAGATTCTTCGACTTTCCTATACCTAAAAATTTTAGTATCAAATTATTTAATAAAATAAGTGCATAGCTTATCTTGCTTTTTTTATTTCATTGCTATCACTGAGCGTTTATCATCTTTCATTCCTAGAATAATTTAATAAAATAATAAATTTGAGTGATATAACCTAAATAGTTTAAAATCACATTATTCTTTCGCAACTGCATATATATAACTTATTGTCAAATTTGACCATATGAGTTGATTGCTAGAAAAATCAGGTTTTGTGAATTTTTAATAAAATTGAGATTTTTATTGCATTTTAGTTTTTAATATTATTATATTAAAATGTATTAAGCTCTTAATTTAAGTTAAAAATTTCTCAGAACCTGATTTTTTTAGAAACTCTCCTATATGACTCTATCGTATTTATAATGATCTAATCACATTTTTTATTACCATCTTAATTTTCTTGTCTAAACTTCCTTAATATGCAGGCTTTTCTAACTACACCAAAATATAACAAGTTCTATATTTATAAAATTCTCACAAATTAACACTAGAGATTTTGTAATACTTTCAGATATTATTGTATGATGAATGTAAGAAACCCTGTATACTCAAAAATAAGTTTATATACAGAATATACTGATGTGTGAAAAGAGATTCAGCATAAATCTCAAGAAGAAATTGAAAGTAAAATCCAAGAATATCTGGCAACAACAATTCTAATTCAAGATTTTTTGCAAACTAATTGTGCACAATCTGATCTATCTCAAATCTCAAGGTTTGTCTAAGCCATCTAAACCTTTTAACAACTAATAGAAGAGATGATTGTAACTGATACTAATTTACCTCCCAATGTAACTGTACAGAAAAAAGTCTTAGAAACTATCAATGCAACTAATATAAAACTTGCAAAACTTCAACAAATTTATAATTCTACTAATGACATAGAAATTCAAAATAACTTAGCGGAATGCATAGCAAATCTTAAGGAAATTTTACGTAATGAGAATAATAAGATTAAAAAATTAAAGCGTCAAGCAAGCTATCAACGTAAAATTAGAAAAAAAAAGTAAAGCTTTTACAAGAATATAAAGAAGTAATACAATACAAATCATCTGATTATCTATCCCTTTTGATTCAATATCTTAATTTGCATGAACACATACACGAATGTATTGAGTTTAGAGCTGTGAATAAAAAAAGAAGAAAAGAAGTTATTAAAGTTAGGACCATCTGCCACCTTCAAGAAGAACTCAATTCAAAATATAATGAATATTTTTCTCACACCACCCTCAGTAATTACTTTCTGCTATCTCAATTAAATTCTATAGCTACAAAGACTTATTACTATCTAGCTAATATTGTTATTGCCTTTATTTCTCAAGTTGAAAAAAAAGAACATCTCGATGAACACTATTGTCTTGTATCTATAAAAGGAGCAAAACAATTTGTGGCTTTATTTTTGACCTATTCTGTTATCATTTTTCAAAATGATAAAGCCAAGATTCCTCTTGGTATTTCTACAGTCAGAAAAATTTTTCAGATTATGCAGAGGTTTAAGAACCAGTTATATTACCTAATCATGATTTTTCAATTAGAATATAGCAAAAGCTTATTCTATCAGTCTACTTGCTCATTAATCTAAATAATACAAATGATACTTTTCGTAATAGCTAACTTTTGATTTTCATATATTCATAATACCAAGTTGGTACAAGCTCAATCTCTCATATGAGTGATCTGACTTCGCTAATAAAAGATAGTCATTTTGATGAAATACTAAAAGTTAATAGTCAGATCAAATCCATTTGGATTCTTTTAGTTAATAGAGGACCAGATAAAAATCCTCGCTATATAAAAAATATTCTTCAATATTGTAAAATGTTCAGTACCTTTGATCTTAATTACCTTTCTGTTCGAACGCATGTATCCAGTGTTGTTATGGAATATTGATAGGACACTGATGAGATATAGATAGGATAGATAGGACATTTCAGACATAGTGTGAGACAAGTTAGAACATATAACTGAAATATATAACTGGGGTAACAAATTTTAAGACATCAAAAATAGACATTACTATATACATCTGGTCAATTAGCATATAATCTGGTTGAGCATAGTATAGCAACACTCTCTCAAAAACTAGCTGATATAATATTGTCAATTGGTAAATATGGTTCTCATCTTAATTTTCAGAGTTAAGTAGTCAATTAGAATTTGCAATAAAAAATATGCGTTATACTGGTAAGGTCTTATGTACTCTTTGAAAATATAATCCTATTTTCAGAAAATCAATCACAATGTAATATATTGATCAAAAAGTTTTCCATTTGATAGTATCATATTTTTTGGTGTGACAGAGAAAATAATAATGATAAATCGGCTGTACCCTGATAATAGTTAGAAAATCATACCAAAATATGTCAATATTCTCTTAATATCAAAAATATGAAAATTTCTCTGTTACTTGCCTAGACATCATGAAGAGGTGACCATTCTTCTTGCAGAAAGCAATGGGTTTCTCCTATCTGTAATAAAAGGAAAAGATAGACACTTCTTAAATCTGGTTTATATATTAGAATATTTTAATAAACTCAAAATACTTGGATATAATGTTCACTATCCTTCTATTGATTCAAGTACTTATACTCGTCTCTGTTGCTCTGTTTGCAATGCATATTTTCTGATACTTTCCATCATTACCTTATATAAGAAAAATCAACATCCAAGACGATGAGGACGACCGGCCAAACAAAAAAGTAACTTACTAATTTTATCAATGATTTTTCAGTTACATCTATATTAGCTAGACAAATACTAGTTCCACATAATCAGGAAATACAATCAGAAGGTGAGTAATTATAAAATAGTTATAATAGAAAGTAAAAAGATTACTACAAAGCTAGGATGGATTTAAAGTAATATAAATAAAAATCATTATTAAATTTTACGATACATTAGATCAATAAACCATAATAAATACATAATTGTAAAAAAAATACTTTCCAAAAAAAACGTCATACTTTTCTCAAAAAAATGAAAAAGTAAAGGATTTGTACTTTTTTGATGCTCATATATATTTAAAGTTTATGTAATGTAATGTGAATCATCATGTGATTTGCTTTTTTATTATGATTGGCTAATATAAAGGTGATATTTTTGAGATTCCCTCCCTCTATAATCACATTATATATGTAAGTCTCCTAAAAATTACTAAAAATTTATTTATAAAATTATAAATTAATTAAGAAAAATATTCAAATATTAAACAATTTTAAATTATAAAAGTTTTAATAAATTTATTAGTTTTAAAAAAGATTTTTATTTTATTGGTTTTTTTAATGATAATATATTAATAAAATATTTATTAAAATAAATAATAAATTTTATTCATGAATTCAGAATCTTTATTTTTTAATATTTAAAACTAAATTCTAAGATTATTTCTATTTAATGATCTTATAAAAATAATTGTTCTCAAAATTTATTTTTTTTTTAAAAAATTATTTATTAAATTTATTATAACTATTTTTTAACATAAGTTACTTATAGATAAATAACTAGACTTTTCTACTAGAAAATTTAAATTTATTCAAAATTATTTGAAATTTCTAAAAAAAAAAAATAATTAAAGCTAATTGATTAAAGTAAATAATATAAAATAATTAAATATATTGATAAAATTTTTATTAAATTGCTTATTTTAATCTATTTTAAATTTAGCAAAATATACAAATCTTTTAATTTTATAAATAATAATAATGTTTTAATAATATTTTAATATTTTTACTATTTTTATACATTTTAACAGTTTTATTTTTTACAAATGATATTAAGATTTTATTATAATTTATTAAGTTTTATTAGATAACTTATTAAACTTCTAGATTTTATTCAACGATTTTATATTTTATATATTTAACTTAGAAATTTAATAATAAATATATTAAAATAAAGATCAATAAATTTGATAGGTTTTAAATTATAATTTAATAAATTTTTACTTGATTTTTTGATTATTAATATATAAAATTGCTTGAGATCGGAGATCCTGACAAAGCAAAAGATGCACCCTTGTATTTGCGCACCCTTATCCTGCCCCGGGAAACAAGAGTGTCGTTTGATGATCAAGGATCCATTAAAGTACCAAGATGTGTCGAAGATGATGTTCCGAAACCGGATTGTTTTCATGATGGCAGATACCTTTTCAATTGAACAAGTTCGTCGCCAGGTTGCATCTTTTGTCGATTTCCATTAACGGATATAATCCAAAAAACTTATTTCCTATATGAAAAGTTCGACTTTGGGATGTTTTTTATGGGCTGTGTGGTCGTGTGGGTAGATAATGCTTCAATTGTTGTGACCACTCAAAAAAGCAATGATAATATGGGAGCTTTGCTATTATAATCGAGTTACGAACATAGTAAATCATATGATCCGTAGCGTGATTTAATAGCTTTCCAATAAGTGTACTCGCTGATTTATTTACATAATTTATTTGTACTCATTTTATTTCAGATATATAACTATTAATAAGCAAAGAGTCCGAAAAACTTATTGAACAATTGGTAATTATGTTCTGCATTATTATGCGAAAGCTAAAATTGAAACAAAAGTCGAAATAGGTTTATTTTAACCTATGTGTAATTGAGTCTATGTGGTGTGGATTGTGTGAGGTAAAAAATAAATTTGTAGTATGCATTTTTCATTTAACATTTGATATATGTGGAGTTCTGTCTAAAATATCTTACTGACAAGGTTACGAATTATTAGCAACAATTTCTTATGGCAACTCCGTCTGTTCGGTTGATTTCTATCTTGAATTCCTCCAATTATTTGAATTAACAGTACGGTACGAAACCCGAAACCTTCGTTAAACTAATGTTGACGTTAAATTATTCACCTTAAAAAAAAATTTTTTTTTTGTTTCATAAACTTTTATTGATTAAGTGAGGGTCATCGTTGGAATCGAACCAACCAAGCCTAAGCAAAACCATTATGACCATACCGGAGTGGATGTCTAATAGTCGTCAACATAAGTTTCACCCGACCTCGCGTACATCACAAAACGATTATACAGGGTTACAACCGAGATTGTTTCTAAAATCCTTAGATCATGAAGATTTAGAATAATAGCTAACAACGGCATCCTCATCCCAACCCACCTCGTAATGCCCTCACCCTGATCGCAAAGAGGTAAATAATTACTTTTGCAAAGCTCAAGTTTACTTCTGAGAGCTTTTGGAAGTTACGCGACTATTGAGCATGATGATCAACAATAGAAGTAAAGAACTAAACGTTCTCATCTATATGAAAACGAATGAACGTAACCATATAGGAATATGGAATAGTAAATCTTATTATGAGTAACGTGAAATCTATCCCATATATACTTCGTTTATTAGGAATAAAGGAAGGTAGCAAATAATAAAAGTAAGTTTCGACCAAACGATGCAACTCATCAAAGGACAACGTACGAATGGAAGCGAGGGACATACTAATATACCGCATATGAAGAAAGACCTGGCAGTACAGATAGTAGAGAAGTAGAGTAAAAGAAGGTCGTTCAAGCGGTACCTACAGACGCTAGAAAGCCATTTAGGGGGAAACGACAAAATCCTTCCTCTTGAGATGTTTATGAAAACTTCTCTACAATAAAGGAGGATAAACCTCCAGCGACTATAGAAAAACGAATAAAATTATTAGTAAATCCTTGAAAATACCACAGTTAAGACAAACAATATTTTAAAAGGAAGGCGAATGACAAAAATTTTAAAACTTATCTTTAAGCTCTAAAGCAAAAATAGTGTAAAGAAAGAAAAAAAATAGTATAAAATAAACAATACGTATTTATTAGTGCGTAGCGATCAACATAAACAAAGCCTGATTGGATAATCGCTTATATTTTAAATCACGTGATAATTGATCAAAATTTTCATATTTATTAACTTTATTTAAATGAATATATTTTAATAATTTTTAGAAAATATAAGAAATACTTAATTAATTATTAAATTTATATTATATCTATAATTTTACTTTATTAAATTTAAGAAATCTACTAATAAATTTAACTTACATTATTTATTAAAATTAGGTAATAAAAACTATTAAAAATATCTAAAGCATTGATCAACTGTAATATAACAGTCTTGCAAACAATTTGATCAAATTCTTTTTATTATAATTAATATAATGAAATATTTGGTATAATATTTCTTTAAATATACAATATATAATTAAAATTTAAAATAATTAAATAGATAAAATTTATCTAGTTTTGACTAAAATTTTTGTAATTCTGATCAAATTTATAATTTCAGCCTAAATTTAATAAAAATTGAAAATGCAGATTAAGGTATTACTATATTAATATAATGTAATACTTTAACTTAAATAATAAAAATAAATTTTATTGACTCTATTTATAAAATTTTTAAGTATATTTTAGTATAATTTTATTACTTTAAAAGATCTTAAGTGAAAGTTAATATATTTAATCTATTTATAATATTTTAAATTAATTTATTATTTGTAAAATATAAAATATCAGATCATTTTAATTTTAAAGAATATTTAGCTGTAATTTTTCTAAATAAAAAGTTGTATTTTTAAATTAATATTTACATACATAAATAAATTATTTATTTATTATTTATATTTTAAATTTTATATAATTTATTTATTATAAATATTATTAGGCTAAAATATAAATTATATTTAATAAAATTAAATTTAAATTTATATATAAATTTTTACTAATATAGGTTAAATTTTTATTAATATAGGTCAAATTTTTTGATTTTAGTTAAATATAAGTCTAATTTTAATAAAACTAAATAGTTATTTTTTGATTAATACCTAAGGTTACTTATTTTAACTCATTCTGAATTTGGTAAAATGTTTAAACTATAGTTCTGCTAATTTTTTACTAAGGTTTTGATATAGTTTTGCATTTTTATAAACTTTAATATAGTTTTACCTTTTTTAGAATTTTGCAGATTTTTTAATAAGGATTTAATATAATTTTACTAAATTTTAACTTTTTTCATTTAGATGACCTATAAAACTTTAAATTTTATCCAGCAACCTTACTAGTACTTGTATTAAGAATTAAAAAACCAGCAACTTTAAAGTTATACCTAAAATAGATTACTTATGAATACTTATAAAATATAATAATAGGAATATTATTAGATTTTTTAAAATCAGATAATTCAAATACTATTTTAGCTTAAAAAATTTTAATTTTAAAGAAAATTTTATTATTCACTAAATACAATTTAAAAAGATAAAGTTTTATATTAAAAAAGATTATTGTTCTTAAAGAGATATAAAATTATTTAAAAAAAGTTTATTTAAAAGTAAAAAATAAAATTATAAAAGATCAGCAAAAACTAATGTGATTAAATAAAAGTAAATTCTTGATTTTAACTTAAATAATATTAGAAAAATCTAAATTTAAATTTATAATTCTAGTATAATAAATTAATTGTAAAGTTTGAAAAGTTCTGTAATATATAATTTATTCAATATAAAAAAATATTATAAATTTATAAATGAATAAATAGAAAATTATACAAAGAAATTTTAGAAGATAAGTTCTTAAGAATTCTTAATATAATTTAAATATAATAATATTATTTTCTAATAGGATAATAACTCAAAATATATAGTAATAAAGACATATAAAGTGATTTGATAATAATATTAAAATTTAGATTAATTAATATAATTATCAGATTTAAATCTATTAAATATTTTGAAATGAAATTGCTTGTTATTTATGATAGCTTCTTGATAATATTACTAGTACAAAATATCTGTAAAATAAAATACAATTAATATAAAATTAAATTAATATTAACTTTTATTTGATATAATGTTATAAAGAATTAAAAATATTCTTAAGACTAGCAGAAAACATATGAGATGTTAATAATTTTATTAAAAATATTTTGTAGTTTATTAAAAAAATTAAAAATTAAAAATTTTTTATTTTTGATTTTATTGTTTATATTACATCAAAAGTATTGTATCATGAAAATTTGGTTATAAAAGACTTTATTGTTAAAATTATAAATAAAATAAAATTTAAATTCATATTGTTTAATTATTGAATTTTGATATATAATAATTATGAAAGTCACTGTATAATAAGATTATATTAAATATAAATTTAGTAAAAAAAAAAAAGCTATTTAATTATTTTTCTTATTATTTTATATAAGTTTTATTAAATAAAGAAAATTAGAAATAGTCAAGTATATATAATATAATTAATTAAAAATTAACTTTAACTGATTAATGTACATCATTTAAAAAATATAATTTTAAATATTTTAATTAAATATGTATAATTAAAATTAATTTCTTTATAAATCTAAATGATATTGTATAGACTAAACCAATTAAAAGGATGATGTTATATCACCAATGATAACCATTTTTTTTTGATCACATGGATACCAAGCCAAAATTGTAACAAACATAAAGCCATTTTATGTATTTATTTTTGGAAATGAATGGTTTTACTGTAAGCCATAAATAAATAAGATGTTCATTTACCCCCATGATATTATTTAAACAATTTTGGGAATAATCGAATACGCGGCCGAAGTTATAACCCCTTAACCCTTAAAATAAAAACTGTTTCACATCCAAAAAGGATTTGATCTAAAAACAATGTAATACATGTATCAAATTTAAAGAATAAACCTAACGTTGTTTGAGAATAATTAATTAATAGGAGGTAGATACATGAATTTACTTGATTTGTAAAAAGTATGCAGCATGTATTTTTTTTCGGTCCATTTAAAGTTAAAGATTATATTAAATCAAATGAATCAAGTAACAAATATTGTAAATATCAAGATCATGCTAAGCCGGACAATTACCAAAAGCCTCAATTAGGATATCAATTATAAAGTCACTATAGAAACGCGTATCATCAGTGTATGCGGTATATATATATGTAGAGCCTTTCTTTTTTTTTAAAAAAAAAAAAAAAAAAAAATTCGAATTTCATTTCCTTTTTACTTATTAAAACAAAAGTTGATTTTTTTTTATTAAACCTTATATATAAATTATTATTTTTATTTTAATATGTCGAGATCGAGGCTTACCGAAGGTGAAAATGGTGGACCACCGTTTCCTCAATCGGGATACCCACAACAAGGTTACCCTCAAGAGCAATATTATCCACAACATCAACCATTTCCACAACAACAACCATTTCCACAACAACAATCATATCCACAACAACAACAATATCCACAACAACCACCAAGACAACCTTCACCACAACAATATTCTCGTCAACCCACACCTCCGAGGCAACTTACGCCACCCCAACAACTATCTACTTCTAGACAGTCTTCACCATCAAGGCAGGTTCCGGCTGGTCATCCTTATCGAGACGATGATAACAGATCGAATGAAAGTCTAAGTCATGTTCAAAAAGATGGATGGGTATTTAGACCACCCGAAAATGGTCATGTTATAACTAAAGGTGAAATGGTTAGCAGAATTGTGCAATATTATGAAGTAAGCTGTCAAAAAATTTATCTTTGAATCCTTTTTTAGTTTCAAAAACACAATATTGAATTTCTTCCCCTAACTCCTGTTTCAAAAAAAAAAGATGTTTGCGGTGAATGTATTTTTACTAGGATATAATGTGCAAAGATATGCGAAATTAGGAGTGGATGGAAGTACAGTAAAAAATTTTCTAATGGATGCATGTGGAGACAGATTTCAAATTGAACAATTTGACTATTGTTCGGCATCAAGATTATTTTGGGGTTTAATAGGTGGAGCCGTAATATATTTTATCTTTACGTCAATTGTAGCATTTGCACTTTCGATTGAATTAAGACGTAGGGGATACGATTCTTCATTCACAGCTTTGTGGCATTCCCCGGCATTTCTATTTTGCTTTTTTTATGACGAAAAAAGGAGAGTTGATATTTTGAGCATACCTAATAAATATGTTGGGTTAAGTTTATGGACTAGAAGTCAAATACATCGGATTAGTTTAGCTGTTTATTGTGCCATTTGTACGATCTTGATTTTGGTTTCTTTAAAAAGGGGGTAAGTTATAAATATCCATTTTTATCTTTTTTTTAATAAAACGACAGAAATTTAAAAAAAAAATTTTTTTTTTATTTCTGTAGAACCGCCGAAACGGCCAAAATTGAGGGTGAAGGTTTAAACAAAGGATTACGTAAATGTATGTAATTAGATATTTTTTTTTTATTTTTTTTTAAAAAATAAAAAAATACTAACAATATTTATATTTATAGTTTATAACCCATATTTAATTCCTTATTATCTGGCATTATACATTTTTTCAAAAACACTTGCAAATATGTTACTCACAATTATTCAAGATAAAGACATTAGAAACAGACCTGAAAGGATAGGTCGATATTACGTTGCTATCAAAGAAGGTCAATAAAGGATCAATTACATTTTCCTTTTTTTTTTTAATAAAAAAAAGGCAAGCAAAGCATGTTGTTAACGTTGTATATATTTAATTACCAACAAAAAAAATTAGATTAACTTAAATTTTAATAAAATTTTAACATTATAAATGATAAAACATATATGGATAGATTATTTGCAAAGGGAGTTTTTTTTTTTTTTTTTTTTTTGAAAAGCGATATTCATTTTCTCAAGATGATGATTCGTTTGAAATTTTTGAGTTACTTATTTTACCTTTATTAGGAATTATTTATGAATAATCTAAACTATTAAGGGCAGATATATGATGAAAAAGCTCATCCCCTAGTTTTTGATTTTTTGAATTTTTTGAATTTGCATTTTCAACCATCGCGTTTTGTGACATATTTTCTTCGCGTTGCGTGATTTATTGTCAAAGATAACCATTCATTTGTCAATATATTGATCAACGCGTATTGTAGATTTTATAGAACTTGTATTTTTACATTTTGGGAGAATTTTCTTCTTAATTACGCAGAGTCATCGCGATATATTGAATTTGTTCGGTTATATGATTCAAACCTTAACGACGTAAAAAAGATCAACAATCGACGTTCTTTTTAACAAAACAATTGATAATTCATTTACTTGTTGTTTAGTTAATTTTTCGACTTCGATAAGATTCAATCCAAAAGGACAGATTAACGTTATTGACTTCAATATATGTTATTCCACGAAGGAATTTTTGAACAAAAACCATCAATCAATGAAAAAAAAAGGGAAATTTTTTGATGCGGTTGTTCTTTCACAATCAAATAAAAGGGTTCAATTTTGGGGGAATTACGAACAATAATTTATTGACATTCTGGATAAATTTTATCATCACAAATTTGATTGTTTTTTTTTTTCTAAAAATCTAAATTCGTTAGTTTTTGCATGTACCCCAAAATTTACAACAATGAAAAATAAATATGCTTATTTAATTTGGCAATGATAATTTTTTTTTTTCATTTTTTTTTTTTTTTTTTTCTCACATTATATCGAAAATTTTTATTTGTAAAGTAAAATTTACCTTTTAATAAAATAAAAATGTCTACAGTTGAAAAAGAAGCAACGGGAAGAGCTTCTCGTACAAGACAAACTGAAAATACTGCTCCACTTCCAAGTGGAGCTGGTGAAGAAACAACTGGTGGAAAGTCTAAAGTTAGTCTAAAAGAAAAAAAATATATATAAAATAAAAATTTTTTTTTTTTTTTTCAAGAGATAAAAACTTTCTATTTTGAAAACTGAAAAAAAAAATAAAGAAATAAAAAAAAGTTGAGGGTTCTTTTTTTGACAATTTATAATCTTTTTTAGAAAAAAGGCGGAAAAGGAGGAGCAAAAGCCTCTGCAGCAGCATCAAGTACTTCAAAAATCTCAAAGAGCATTAAAGCAGGTTTGGTCCTTTTTTTTTTTCATCGAAATTTCCTTTATTTAATCTTTCATAAAGTTTTTGAAAAAAAAACTTGATAAAAAAATCAAATCATAAGAAAAATTCTCTTTTTTTTTTTTAAAAAAAAAAATTTTAGGGTTAACATTTCCAGTTGGTCGTATGGCAAGATTATTGAAAAAAGGTAGATATGCAGATAGAATAGGAGCGGGAGCACCAGTATATTTAGCAGCAGTAATAGAATATTTAACAGCAGAAGTATTAGAATTAGCGGGAAATGCGGCAAGAGATAATAAGAAACAACGTATCATACCAAGACATTTACAATTAGCTATACGTAATGACGAAGAATTAAATATTTTATTAAGACATGTTCATATAGCCGAAGGTGGTGTTTTACCAAATATCCATGCCGAATTGTTACCTAAAAAGAAAGGCAGCGAAAAGGTTAAACCTACAACTACTGTTACTAGTGCTACTGGCGCAAGTGGTGGAGCTCAATCAAAGAAATCTACCAAAGGTGCCAAGACCACCGCTGCTGCATCTGGTGGTAAAGCGTAAAGGAGGTGTTGACTTTTTGATTTTTCTTGATTTTACTCTTTTTATCTTGGGAATGATATATATATATTTTTTTTTCATATAACTTCTTTTAGTTTACGCTTGCTTTCTTTCACATAAATTTGTTTTTATCTCTTTTTGAAATTTCTTTTTTGTAAAGAAAATTAACATTAAACTAATAGAGTAATTGTCATAAAACGTTTCATTTCTTTTCTTTTTTCCTCTTTGCGCGTTTTATTTTAAAATAAAAAATTTGAATTGATCGAGTTTTAAATTACATTCGGCAGAATTAAAATTATGTATCACGTGACAATCCATAATTTAAAATTTTTCGTTTTTCATGTGTCGAATTTATTATTAAAATTTTTCCTCAAAAAATTGATTTAAGAACTTTTGATCAACAATCCAAGATCACAATTAAATAATAGACTTTCAATTTAATATGAAATTGCTTCATGGGGGGAAATCTTGATCATTCGGAAATATTTCCAGATTCATTCCCATAATATTTCATTCTGTTACTGATCTTCAAAAGAAATCATGAGTTTTTTTTAGCGAACCACGATTTAATAAAATGTATAAAAACCAACCTTTTTGTCCAAGTTTTTTTTTTTTCCTCATTAAATTCCTCACTTAAATCAATTCATTGCCCGGTGCAAAGGACTAAACCTTTACGACTTCATCGACTTCACGACCAAACCTCTCTAAAGTTTCATCATGAAATTCTTTCTTGCTTATCCTTTAATCCTCGTAATTCTCTTGGTCAACGATGCCTTATCGATTCCATTATCAGATGATAAAAATATTTGTGACCATCAAAAGTTAAATAAAGGCAAGCAAGATCCTAAAGGAACTTGCTCTACGACCATCCAAGGAGAGATACCATCTGTCGACAATATGGTTGCAACAATTATCACCTCCCCAGATAATAATAAAGTATTGAAGTCTAAAGTGCCATTCAACGTTTCGTTTTTAGTTGGTAATTTAGCAACCGGATTCTTTAGTGATCCAGATACACAATATTACACCTTACCGCAAACACTTAGCAAACATGGTTTGATAAGAGGTCATGTACATGTTACCATTCAAAGTATTAATGAAAATAGACTTCCAAATACCAAGGATTTTGTATTCTTTAAAGGTGTAAATGATAAGGCCGATAAACATGGTAGATTAAGTGTTGAAGTCGAAAGTGGTTTAAGTCCTGGACGTTTTAGAATTTGCACCATTAGTGGATCTTTTTCACATCAACCCCCACTTTTGCCAATCGCAAAAAGGGGTGCTGCGGATGATTGTATAAGAATTACTGTAGAAGGTAAAGGTGCAACTTTAGAAAATGCTGAAAATGTTCCTGTAAAAGCACCTGTAGTAGTAAATAGTGAAAATGTTCCTGTAAATGTACCTGCAAAAAATGGTAAAAACAAAAGGGCAATGTCAGGGAAGATTTAAAACTAACTTAATTAGTATAATTTAATGATAAATTAATGATTTCAAAAAAGAATTTTTTTATTTGTACACGGGGAGTTTTAATGTTTAAAAAAAGCGAATTACAGAATTTCGTAATACGGGTATGTCCGTTTATAATGTCACATAACCAATTTCAATTCTAATAAATAATAAAATTTTTGCTGTGCAAAACACTAAACTCCAAAGAATATATTAAAAATATTACGTAATACAAATCGTTGGCTAATTCATCGAATCAAAATTAACCAATACATTTTAAACTATTAAAGTAAAATCTACATTCAAACATGTGATAATCGGTCGGAAGTTATATATATAAACTACCTATTTGTAGGTCTTATTTGAAAAACAAAAAAATGTCCCTTTCAAGAAAAAATAACCTTTTGCTTATATTCATTCACGGTTTCAAAGGTGATGATGAAACTTTTTTGGTTTGTATCTACATCCTTCCTTCCTTATTATAGGTTCATAAAATTTACTTTTTATTTTGCCAAAATTCAGTATTTTTTTTTCTCCTTTTTTTTTTGACTAATTTTTATAACAGGACTTCCCGAACCGCCTTCAACACGTTCTTCAAGAAAAGATATTTAGCATAGAAACAAGATCAATAGTTTATCCTCGTTATGAAACTCGAGGTAATTTAAAAGAGGCTGTTGAAACGTTTTGCTTATGGCTGGAAAATGAGGTCAAAAAGCTAACTGGAAACGTTCGAGTTTGTTTACTTGGACATTCCATGGGTGGTATTTTAGGTAAGTGAAATCGTTATTACGTAAATTTTTTTTTTCACATAATTATTCACTTAATGTATTCTAGCTGCCGATACAATCTTAAGATACGAAAATCAGACAATAAGAACGGCTTGTAAACCAAATATAATCGGATTGTTCGCATATGACACCCCATATTATGGGGTACACCATGATGTTTTTTCAAAGACTGCGCTCAATCGATTTAATAAAGCAACACAAAGCGTCGGTAGTACACTTACTTTATTATCGACCGTCGCTAGTGCTTCCGCTATCTCTAATACAGGATTGGGAAAACGGAGTTTGTTTGGTATGGTCGCTGTCGGTGTTGGTGCTGTTGCTGCTGCTACTTATTATCATAAAGATAAAGTTGGTAAAGGTGTGGAATGGTTGGGAAGTCATCTTGAATATGTTGGTGTCTTGTTTGATGAATATGCATTGGCGGAAAGGTATGTGCGGATTTTATATTTGATAATAACATATGTAGATTCATTTCTTTACAATTTATGTTCTTAAAACTTTTCATTAGAGTTGAAAACCTGGTGAACGTACCAGATATTGTTTTTAAGTGTTACTACACTCAGGTAAATTAAATATAACTATAAAAGTTTTTTTTTTAGTTATACTGAGAAATTATTCTTTTTAGATTCCACCAAAAAATGATGAATCACCGAAAACGTTCATTAGCTTGCCACCACCAGAAATGATGTCAAACTTTTCTTCCTTAGCTTGTTTAAGCGAAGATGAAATTGCCGCTCATCTTGGAATGTTTGATCCAAATGTTAACCCTTTTTATTATGATTTGGGTCACGTGACTTCAGAACATATATATGAGATGTTATCAAAAAGCGAGGTTCTTCTGTTTTGAAAGCTTTGATGTGAAAGGAATGTATCTTTGAAAAAAGTATACAATGAAAAAGTCTCGATATATTTTGTATATCAGGCGATGCGACTTTTATATACGGCATATGAGTACAGGATATATTAGAACTTTTATTATAAACTATGCATACACTTTTTTTGAATTTTAAACTATAAAATAAAGGCAATATCAGTTTAAAATTGACATCACGTGAAAACAAATTGGCATATGGGTTGATTACAGGTTCCGGGAATTTTTTAGCAAAATTGAGATTTTTATTGCATTATAATTTTAGATGTTATTAGATTAAAATGTATTAAGCTTTTAATTTTTGTCAAAAATTTCTCGGAACCTGATTTTCCTAGAAACCCTCCCATATAACGCTCCATTGAATATTTATCCGCTTTTTAATTAATTAACAATGACTATAGTAAATGAAGCATTACTAAACCCATAATGGTAATTAAGTCAGTATGCAAGTATTTAGAATGTCATTATTAACATTAACATTAGATCCTATAGTTAGTTAACCTTTGAATAACTGAATTAAGATATTTCTGTATCCATTTGATAAACTATTGCATTTACCTCAACTTCTTTATTACCGATATCAAATATTGTTTGATCTCTTTCCGAATGGTTAGAAACATTTATTTCGGATATATTAATATCGCATGTAATATAAATTTCCTTTAATTATTTTTTTACTAAGTGCTTATCATAAATAAAATAAAAAAAAGAGTTAATTACTTATATAATTAAAAGGTCTCATTAAAATATATTTATAAATAGCATTGCATTTAATATCTGATGAATTATTTTTTTTTGTTAAAAACTAATCCTTTTTCTACATATTCAAATTAATCAATTAATAAATTATATTATACCACGGTTCCTAATCGGTCATCCATGGCTTTTTTTACTGATATTTTCACGGTTGTAGCTTATTATTTATATTTGCTAACATACCTACTTATTATTCATTATTATTATTATTTATATACCTCAAAAACTAAACCCAGCACCTCCTTATATGATATTCCATGTCCTAACCACTACACTACTTAGTTTTTTTTACTTAAATTTGTAATAATAATGTGTATTATTGTATTTATTGTATAATTCGATGTTTTATTTACAGTATAAAAAAAATTTGTAATACATTAGATATAATTAAGATTTTATTTATAAATTTTATTTCTAAGTAATTCTTTGGATATTATTAAAATGTTATTTTCTATTCATTTATATTGCATTATTTACTATTATTTATACATTAAAATAATGAATTATTTTTGAATATTAAAAGTAACATTTGAGAAATTACAATTATGAAATAAAGGTAATTCATTTAAAGAATTTAAAGATAATGAAATTTCTTGAAGAGGAAGTTGCGATTTTGAATTATTATTATTAATTAAATTCCTTTGTAAATTTTTTTTTTCTGGTATTAAAGCTGATTTACTATCAGTAATGTTAATTAAGTATTTAAGGTATTTAATTGTTGATTTTCATTAACTTTTTTATAAGCTCGAACACCTTGAACACTTTTATAGCCAGTGAATTGCATAATTGCTTACTCTAAAACTTCTTGATCTTGTAAAATTTGAGTAACAGTTTTACGTTCAGAATGATTAGAGTGATTCAATGGGAATATCAATTTGTGTTTCATGACTAATCTTTTTCATAAAGTTACTTAATTTGTTTTTCCTATGTGAACTGTCTTATACCAATTATTGGTTTTCAACTAAGAAGTATTATTAGGCTGTAAATAAAAATTTTTATTAACTAAAGGTGGATGTTTAGACAAGTACAATTGAATATCTGAATATGATCTATTGTTATCAGCTAGTATTGAAATAATATGAACCTGACCACCTTGAATTTCACATTGATTATTTTTTAGACATATAATGAAAAATTTCAAACTACCATTTCCATCAGGTTTAAATTGATTAATTTTAAGTTGGTAATGCTTTTCTCTGCGCATAGCAAGTATTATTAATAAAAAAAACATGATATAAAAGACTTTTAGAATTATTTGTAGCCATTTTAGGATGTTGTAAAATTTGCTGAATTTGTTGAAATTAATAGTAACTGAATCTGATATTTCACTAAAGCCTTGTTCTTAAAGATCACACAACTTTTCATGTAAAACATCATGTAAATCAGGAAACAAATATTTATCATGCAAATTTATTTGTGAAATAGGTAATGATAAAGAAGATATCTATTAAGCGCATCAACACTTTACTTAACTGATGTTACTTTATACTTATTACTATTTTTCATTTTCATTATAAAGATAAATTCTACAATTTGTTTTTAAAGTTGAAAAATATCTTTAAGGTCAGCTAAAGAGATCAAATAACTAGTACAAGTACAAAATTCTTCAAATTTTGTGGTCCAACTTTTAGTAGATTTTTCAGTATTTTTGACTTTTGCCTTCTCATGATTGTAAGAAGCTTTAATTTGTATAGTATCTTGAATATTAACATTATTAAAATCATCAAGAGAATTTTTTAAATTAAGTAAACTTGTTGCTATTTAGAAATTTGGAAGATGAGAAATATTTTTTTCATGTTTTTTACCTATAATGATAATTTGAATAGAAAAATATGAAAGAAAAAAAAATTATCGATAATAAGATTTAATAAAGAAAAAAATTTTTTTTTTAATCAATAATAGAGAAAAAAAAAATTTATCATTTATCAATTGTAATCCAGGCCTTATGGACGGACATTCACATGATTGGTTAATCCTATTTAATTGCCGGATACATTATTTATATAGTTTAGAGTACTTTTTGAAATTGTAACATTTCACATAAAAAAAAAATAATAAAATTTTTTCTCTAGCTTTGAAAGTGTGTTAACATTCACTGTGCAAAATAATCCCAAAAAAATCCAAAATCTAAAGGTACTTTACTTAGAGGCAAGTACTCTTAATGGAATTATGTGTAATTACAATATGCCAAATCTAACAGTCAGTACGATGGAGAAAGATAACTAAGTACATTATTTCAAAAGGTCAAACTAACAAAACTTTATCAGGATATTTACAAATAGGTGATAAGATATGCTTAAACTGTTATAACGGAATTGTGGTAAACTGCTCACTTGCATTTCAAAAATATACTCTAGAATCTTCCTCTCCACCTCTGGTTTAACCTCTATCTCTACCTCTAGTTCAACCTCCACTACTACCACCACCTTTAGCTCCACCACTACCACCGCTTCCGCTTTAGATGCCACCACCTCTACCTTCTATTTTATCCTTCTCTAAAGCAATAGAAATAATTACTAATATTTTATACCGTGAAAAAAAGGAAAAAAAATCAGCAATATACTCATTTGATGAATTTCGTGCAGTTATAAAAGAGGAAGATGTAAGATTAAGTTCATTTTTTGACGAGTTATATCTTTCTTCTAACCCTTCTTCAAAAAATGAAAATTCATGAGCACAGGTGAAAAAGCAGCTCTTATATGTATGCTACTTTCTCTGCAGAATTCGTAGCAAGTTCATTAATGTCACAAAAGAAGAATTGATGATGTACTTGGATTCTACTGGTATTTCTAATGCCTCCATAGATACTCTTGCTGATCTAGGTGTAACTACAACATTTCATACAATTGCGTGGCATAAAACTACCATATTTAATGATCATACTAAAACTGTCAATTTTACACTCGCGAAATATGCAGAGAAGGCAATAATATTAAATATCGATGATTATTATAGTATCCATATGAAACGGATGCCAAACACAATCACAACTTCTACTGCAGCACACTTGACAACAATTTTAATGAACCTGATTACTACACAGTGTGCAATTCCAAATATGAATATACACAATCCTAGGTTGGTCAACGCAGAGTTGATAAAACTGAATCTAAATAATAGATTTATGATGCTTCTCAGTCTTTCGCATAATCAACGCTAGGGATTTTGTTCAGTTGATAATAGTACTAAATTAGAAGAGCTAATTGTACATAGTTATGACACTAAATTGAAAGAGAAACAGGATGTTCGTTTGATGAAAGACGTAGTCCTCATAGATTTACAAGAAAATAATCTTCATTCTTTAAATGCATATATCAAGGCTATTAATGCCGTTGTAAATGTTCTATCTATATAACAATATATTCAAAAGGAATATATTATATCTGTCATTACTGATTGGTCTGAACAAATCTACCTTAGGATGACCATCTCTCATTTTATCTTATATCGTGATCGATCTAATATCACTAATTCTATTTTATCATTTCTTCCTATTATAGGTTCCTTGCATATCTCGTTAAATAGTCAAGAACTAATATTCCTTCAATATCAGCCTTATTTTTGGCTATATACAAGTATATTTTTAAAGAACGAAGTCCTCTTGCATAAAAGCCAAGCCATAGCATATTAATCTTCTTTTAGAGATTTCTCGTGACGTTTGGCAGGAAATTTAACAAGTGTTAATGCAAAATTTGGATTCCTATGCAAAGATGCTGAATATCTTACACTGAAAGATTTGCTTGATAACTTAATTCCTCTAGTTTTAGACGTTTATGTGGTGTTTTTCTGATCTGGCGATTTTGACGCTTATCTAGAATCATGCATTCGTATGTGAGTTGTATTTTTCAAATTCTATTATAAAAACTATACTAAAGCACCATTAATATTTCTTTCAGATATATTTTTCTGGAAGTTAAATGATCATCCTATTTTAAAAACCATTAAAGTTGAACTTCTAAAGTTTTCAGACTCAACTGTTGAAATATTCTATAGCTTTTTACGTCAGAGCATACAGAAATATACCGAGGCACAACAGATCATTAAATAGAATATTTTATCAACCGATTACGCCTGAATGATAACGGATTTAGAGAAAATATTGCTTATACATCTACATGGGCTGCCTATAAATATTCTGCTCGAGATATTACTTATTTAATAAAGAAAAGTGCATATTTCCTTTTGCAATGTTTTTCAGAAATCTATATACACATATTTCACAATAATTTGCCATTAATAATTCTATTACAGGTGAATCCAAATATACCTTTGAAGAAGCACTATAAAATTAATGAAATTTCCATTTCATTAATAGCAATGAAAATGCCAGAAGCATAATCATGTCATTTTTCTTTAGGGTTTAATACTTTACATAAACCAAATCTATTTCAATATTGCGATGCATCTAACTGTTCTATTTCTTTTAATACAGATCCTATTCAAGTTTTGGCTTGCGGTTATACTTATCACAAATCTTGTCATACAAACAATAGATTTAAGTATATGCATTGCCTCTCATTCTTACAAGACAGTATTGATGAATATGTTCAGTCTTTATTAGAACGCTTGCATCATTTCAAAGAAGAACAACAAGCTGAAGTTAAAAATCTGAAAAATAATACCCATGTGATGATGATGATGAAAGCGAACCTATAGAATATGTAGTATATGCATTAGAAGAGGTATTGCGTAAATTCCAACAGCAATAGATCATTTAAAAGAACAACTTTATTTAAAGAAGCATTTTAGTTACAATAAAAATAAAAATTTTTTTTACAATTTTTTTTTTTATAAAAATTAAAGACTATTATATAAAATTAATAAATTAAACTATTTTTTTGAAACAATAGTTTTTATTTTTAATACTTTAATTTATTTACATTTAAATGCTAAATACTTTAAATATAATAGTTAAATTTATTATCATGTATTATATCACGTGATATGTATAAATATTTACAATATCAATTACAAATTTTGTGTAATTTAATCAGCCAATCACATGAAAGTCTTCCTATAAATCCAGACCATGGATATTAGTCCCTGTGATATAAACTAGTTATTTCATAACTATCCGTAAAATAACTATTACATATTTACTATTTAATAAACTTTGCAATACCTATTCTTTCAGTGAGATACTATCATGTAATATAATTATATTACATGGTGGTATTTCACTTACCTTAGATTATATTATTATCATATAATTTGGATACTACTATATGATCTAAATACCACCATATAATCTGGATACTATTATATGATCTAAATACCACTATATAATCTGATTACTACCATATAATCTAAATAATATAATCTAATTATCATAATATAATCTAATTTTCATGTATCAGGTATCTTTTTTATACTCTAACTATCCTTTAAATCTTTCTTGCTATCTGTAATTTTTTACTACCATATAATTTAACTACCATCTACCATTTAACCTAACTACTATTATATAATCTAAATACTACGCTTTTCTTCTTATTTCTGAGTCATTTACATGTTAAATTCTTTAATAAAGTTGTTAGTTCTCTGTAGCTATTTAGATATTTAGTTTTATGTTGAGAATGCTGACCTCCTGCACCTGGTTGGATGCTAAATTCTATATTAAAGTGCTTACCATTTGTATCTATTTGGTTGTCTTTTTAGATACCAAAATGTGATAAAAAAAATATGGTATCAGATGGCACAGTAAATTCGTGATTAATTTTAACCAGCACTATTCTATAATTTTAACCGATTTTTAGGATATATGATTTGAAAAATCTAAGCTGACATCATAGTAGTGACTTAATAATATCCTGAAACTGTCATGGAATTAGTGAGAAACTGCCAGGATGCTAGAAAGATTTCTATTAGTTCATCAGCTTGGATGCAGAATTATTATATCCAAAGTTCTGATCAAAATCATAGAATAGTGTTGGCTAAAATTTTTATTAATTTTATTGCGCATTTAGTTTGGGTACTTTCTTATCACCTTCTTGTAACTTTTATTTCATATATACATTATCCCTATTTGTGATCGATTGAAAACATAATAGTGATAATACATATATGAAATAAAAATCACAATAAGTGATAATACTTTTACTTATACAATATTGCTGACTAGATTTAATCCTGCTTCTGACCTTCTAATTGACACTAAAAATGAGGCTGAAAAAGACTTATCTTCTAAATATATATCTGGTTGCCACTTTTCTGAATTCATACTAATAATAGAGTAGCCAAATGCCAATATTTCTGAAGAAGCCTTTATATTATATCCAGATATATATCTAGAAAGGATAAGTCTTATACAGAGACTATATTACACCTGAGTATATATCTAGAAAAGTGAAGGCATCTACTATATTTTTATATAATAATTCTGCAGATACCTTCATTTTTAGTTGCATTACGTATTATCATGGTCAGCCCATTTATACCATACCTGAATACATGTCTAGAAAATGTAGCCTTCTCCAATTTTTATATAATGATTATGCAGAAGGCTACACTTTTTCAGATATATCCACTTGCCTTTTATTTTTGATTTGCTTTAATTTCATGTCCTGTAGTTAGAGGTGCAATATGTATTATTATAGCTGACCTATTTATATTATACTTGAATACATATCTAGAAAGATGGAGCCTTCTTCCAATTTTTTATATAATAATTCTGAAGAAGGCTCTACTTTCAAATATATATCTATTTCTCTTTTATTTACAATTTGTTGACTAAGTTTACTATCACTTTTTTATTACATCTATTGAAAAAATTAATTAAACATTTTGGAATTATATTGTGATATAATAACTTTATCTACTGTTATCATGCATACTCTAACTATTTTTGACTAAACTGATTGCATTACCCTCTCACCCGCTACGATAGCATTAAATTTTTAGTCAGCATTCTATCACATAATGAGATTATAGTAGAATATAATAATGGGATGACTGCTATACTTTAACAAAGTCTATCTAGCAAGCAACTCATATATTTTATGCCTACTGAAGTTAGTAATAATACCAAATATATAAATGGGATCTCTATCTATATTTTGCACATTAATGATTGCTTAATTAATAAGCAAAAGGCAGTTGTAAATATTACAGGTATCTGACCTTTCTTTAATGTCAAAGGTCCTGAAGAGATACCGTTATCTATATTTAAGACTAAATTATAGTTAGGAAATATACCAAATAAGGAAACAATTTCTAGAATGATCTATAAAAAATCCTTGAAATTTAATTGGCTGTTACATGCAAATTATCGATAATCTTTTTTTTTTTGAATTTTCATTGTGGCTTAGATAGCATATAAATTGATAGTAAAAGACTTCTAGTTTTTATAATCAAGAATAATCATTCAGGATCAACACTTCTTAAAAAAGTAAATAAGACTTCAAAATAAGAAATTTGCATGCATTTTGTTAATTAAAATGAAAAGTATATAACATATTTTTTGTTAACTAATCTAGCATTCTAAATAATTTTTTTTTTTTGTAAAGTCTGCTTATCAAAAGCTAAAAGCAAAAGAACTTCCATGTATTTTTTCAGATTTAGTTGATAGTTATAGTAAAATTGGATTAAAAGCTTGTAAAACGAAGGAATCACTAATCTGATAGTATGCTAGTATCCAGGAAATAACTAAGCAGCTTGCACAATACCATAATTATATTCCTAAATTTGTTAACCTTCATTCTTCTTTAAAGTCTTATTCAATTTGTGAAAGACATTATAATCAAATCATTGCTACTAATCAATTTTACTATCATCTTACAGATTTTAATCAAGAAAACAAGCAACTTCGATTAGATACTGATAAAGAAAGTAGCATTGATCATTCTGACATTATAGCTGAGTTTAAAAAAACTAAAAGTCTTCTGGAAGCTAGTCACTTAGAAATTCAGCAGAATTACAATCAATAACAGATCTCAACAATTAAATTATACAAATGCATCAGCATCTAAAAGATCATAAAGTCAAAATAGAAAAATTAAAAAAAAAAATTGCAAAAGGCTTATGAGGATATGGCTGAGATTTATAATTTATATAATGAAAAATGTAAAGAGAATGAAATTTTTATTGAACAGCAAAATTCACGATTCTCTGATCAACAAAAATGTATTGAAGCAATTATTAAAATAGCGAATGCAGAACGTGAATCATTATTTAATGATATAGAATTATTGATATGAAATAGTACTAGGTTTTCTATGAAGAGCTTTGTAAAGTATAATTCCCGTGAATGGCTCAATAGACAAAATCAGGTTGTTATCAAATTTATCGAAACTTTGATTTAGAATACTCAAGGCGCTGATACTTTAAGCTAAGAAAAGCTCTTTAAAACTGCTGTTGCAGTTAATTTGATATATGGTGCACAACATGAAAAATATATTTTAGAGATCCATCTTGTCCTCTCTACTATTAAATATTCAATTATATAATCAAAAATGGTTATCAATATTGATAATCATATAACAAATTCAGGAAGTTATTATCGATTTCAAAAGTGGTGTGAGAAACTATCAAAACATGAAGAACCATTACCCAAAGGGCTATTATTTCTTGCATTTGATAACAAACAAAGGGGACAGAAAAATTATCTTGACCGAAGGTTTAATACAATAGTTTATCATATTGTTACCAGTTTCGTTAGTTTTAATATAGCGTCACAAAACAGAATGCAACATATAGATTCACCTTGGGCATATGATTCTCTTAATAGGTTACAATATGAAGAACTTTTCGATGTTAATCCCAAATGCAAGAAGTCATTGATAAAGAATTATATGTTTATATTACTGATATTCTTAATTTATTATCCAAAAAAAATATTCTCTATTAATACTATCGATTCTCTTACAACATCTATAGGAATTAATATTACCAATATGAAAAAGTGTCCTAGCTGTCATCAACAAAATATTGAAAATTGAAAAAAAAACATGCCTAACATGTCAAACGTGATTGCTAACATTAACCGATATACAAAAAGAAAAAGTAGGCAAAGTTAAGCATAGCATAATCGAAAATCCGTTTATTTTTAAACCTTTTAATATTAATGATGAATCAAGTATTACATGTGTTCCTAGGATCAGTGTTACTCAACAAAGAATTACTGATCAAAGAGTTAACATTCCTAAAATTTATATTCCTGATCTGATCAATATTAATCCTAATTCTATTGCAAATATTGAAAAGATTTTTTTACATATAGAAATAATAACAGATATTAGAGATGGCACTCGTAAGTGAATGGCAGTAGTCTGTGATGATGTTCTATACTATCATACTATAAAATTAAAAGAAAAGTTTCCTTAGCTAGTACTTTTACTAGGACAACTGCATGAAGAAATAAATATGCTTTGAGCATTTGTGAAGTTAAACTGGTAGATAGTTACAATTCAGAAAATTTATTATTTCACAATGCACAAAGAATTTTGTTCAACGCTCTTATACCGCTTCAATGTATTTATTCACTTAATAACTTAACTTTATATATTGGAAAAATTAATATAAAATGATTTGTAATGTATCAAGGTTATTGAACAAATAATCAGCTTTCCTACTTTAAAAAATGTGCAGACCATCACAAGTCTTAGGATTCTATCTGTAATATATATCATCAGGCTATTTTTATGGAACTTGTATGGCCGTATGTAAAAAACTATTTAGACTTATCAGTCGAAAGATATCTTGCTTGGGTCAAAGAATAGCAAGATTCACTTTATCAGATAAAATATAAACAGGTCACTACTAATTTTTATTCTTTTTATAGATATTAATATTAATTTTTATTATTTTTATTTTAATAGACATTCGTTTATCTTTAAGTAATAATCAATTATCGAAAAGCTATAAGAACTAACAATCCTCTATTAAAAAGTTCTGCTAGAAAAGTGTTTTCTCCTATTTGGTTTGTAAGATGACACCCTATCTACCGTTTAATAGAAGTTGTTAATGAAGTTCAATTGATGCAGCTTCATCTGGAAGTATGTGACATTATAGAAAATAATTGCATTATTTCTAGGTCAAGTATTTACGAACAGCATCAAGAATTAGATGAAATTATTGAGAAGATAAACAAAATTTTAAAAACTTTAATACCTTCTGTCCCGTAACTCCATTATTGGAAAATCACCACACGTAATTGTAAAAATTTCTCAAGGTAAACTTTTATTTTAATTAAATTAATTAGTAATATACACATTTAACAAACTTTAATTCATAATAAATTTTAGCTTAGAAATAACTTACTTAAAGTAATTGGATATAATGATTATCAAACCTTTAGACCAAGAACTCAGCTAGAATCAACTATAGAATGCTAGAGATTTCGAATTTATCTGTAAAGCCTTGAATTTGTGAATCAGAGCCTAGAAGAATATGAATTAAATGAAAATTTAAAAAATTTCATATACTTAGCAAAGAAAGCTCGACAAAGTTTTATTACTGAATTATTTATTAACAAAAATAATCCTTCTTTATTTAGGCTAATACTAATTTTAAAACAAAAAGCAAAGGCTCAAGAAAGTGAAGAAAATATGATCAAACCTGAAATTTTGTTAAAGATAGAAACTCTTCTTGAATAGTTTAGAGAAAATACTCAGAAAAAATACTCCAGATTAAAATCAAAAAAGCGAAATAAATTAATATATATATTACAAGAGATAAAGCATGTATTCAATTCAGATAATTTGAAGTGAATTGTTTTTTTATTTAGGCATTTCCTATCCAACATCAATTTCTTTAACAAAATTAACCAAACTATCAAGTAAAATAGATATCAGAAAATAGATTATAACCTCTTTTTATTTTATTTTTTTACCATGTTTATTGTAAAATAAAAATAAAATAAAAAAAATTATTGCTTTTTAAAAATTTTAATTTGATTATATAATCAATTAGAGTAAGTCTAGAATATTCTGATCAGCAAATTTGTTACCATAATAGGCAATTATTGTCTGGATATATTTGGTATATTCTCTGACTGTAGTGAACCATTTTTCAGCAAATTCCTTAAATCATCATTTGATAATATAATTATTTCAAGAAAAATGCTTGATTTGATGATTGAATATTACAATGTAACTTATATTACATTTGATTTTAGGAAGCTATTCAATAAGGATTCAAAAGATAGTATAATGATTCAGGTTATAATGAATCTATTCAGAAGATATTGAATTAGTTCTAAAATCTTTGGATCGTTGATGTCTTTGCGATATGTAAAAAATTTGTATATTTTAGCCAAATTTATTATAAATGATAGTACAATCGATTGTTTTCCTGACTAAGTCCAATATTATTTTATACATAAGGTCAATTTACCATTTAGAAAGGCTGAACATTTTCTAGCATTTGTTCATTGATATAAATTTGCAAGTTCTCCAAATATGCGATATTATTTTAGCGAAAAAAAACATATAATATCAAATTATAGAATACTAAATTTTATCCAGAAAGTCGTAATTGTATAATACCAGTTCATCATATTTTAAGTTAATTTGTATTGATTAACTATTGAATTTTAGCCTGGCAAAATGCAAAAGAATATTTGGCTGTTAATCTAATTAATAGAAAATATCAGTTATATTTTCTTCTGAATTTTATTTTATTTTGAAATATTTTAGTCTATTTTTAATGTATATCAATCAGATGTAAATCAGACTTCAATTGGCTATAAATAAGATAGGTCAAATTTTAACTGATTTTTGACGTATGCCAATTAGCAATAAGTATGCCAATCAGTTATAAATAAGATAGGTTAAATTTCAGTTGATTCTTGACTGATTTTTAATGTATGCCAATCAACTAGGCTGATTTTTTGATAATTTGCCAAATTTAGGTTGAATTTAGGCTGATTTTTTATATGTTCAATTTTTTGATTTCGATCAGTATATTACAGCATATTTCTTTAAACCTATTAAATCTTATGATTATATTATTAAATATTAAAAAGATTTTACGTCTTGATGATATAAGTAATATTATATAAATTGATTTTTTTGATTTCTATAATAAGTTTATTATTAATATTAATATAAATTCTACTGAATTTTACAATAAAATTAGATGGATTTCATTTCTAATTTTGCTAATCACTATAGTAAAATTATCATTAATTTCAAAAATATATGTAAAAATTTTTTGTTTATTTCAATAAGAATTTTTTAATTTCTAATATATTATTTCTTGTTTTAAGTTTATTTATATTTAATAATATATGCAAAGAGTTCATTAAAAATTTTTGTTTGAGATTAAACCATATAGTAATAATTTTATAAATATTACTGAACTAATAAATATAAAAATAATGATTAAGATCATAAAAGATATACTTTCTAAAGAATTGAATAATATTAAACTGATTATAATTAAATAAGATTAAAGATAAGCATTGCAATTAAAAAAATAATGCAATTGAATTATAACTTATAATACTATTAAATTATTTTATAATGCAATTAAGTTGCAATGCAATTAAAATTTGAAAATAATTATAGGAATTATCTTTAAATAAGATATTATGCAGTAAATTTATTGAAAAATATGTGTTTTTTAGTAAATCAAATTATTTTTTAATAACTATTTTTTATAATATTAATTATTCTTATAAAAGTTAATATGCTAAAAAAAGAAAGATTCTTTATATTTTATTCTTATTACATATAGAAATGGAAATTTAATCTGATTTAATAAAAATTATATTATTTTATTATATGTATTTGATATAATTACATTTTTTATCTAAGTAATACTAGTAGAATTTGATTTCATCTAATAATAAGAATTTACTATTTATTTCTAATAAAATTTTACCATTTCATCTGAAAATCTGTAAATTATAAATTCTAATCATTAATTTTCATTTTTGATTCTTTTTAATAATATCTTATTTTATGATTTACAAAATCAGAAATATATTTTTATTAATAATTTAAAATTACAATAAGTAAAATAAAATATATCAGAACTTTTGAAAAAATATATGATAAAAGATAATATAAAAAAATTTCTTGACTAGAATTATTAATAAATACTCTAAAATAATGATTATAAAAATAATAATGTATTATTATATATAACATATTTTGCATATATAATTTATATGAACTAATAATATTTTACTACATATGATATCTAAGTATTTGAAAAAAAAAAATAGATAATTTAATGATTCAGTTTATACAAGTATATATTCTATCTAATAATTTTTTTAAATGATTACCAAAAAAATAATAAGACTTATTATTGGTAAGTCTTCTTTTATATCTTCTATTATAATAATAATAACCTCTATCATATCTATTGTATTCATTATATCTATTATATTCATTATTATTTGATTTATTCAACATCTTTTTTTAGAATCATTATTATAACTACTATCATTATAAATATTTGACTTAGCTAGAATCATTTAAAATTTAATTAGTAAAATACTTGATAAATTAGAAATTTATATAAAAAAATATTATGAATCAGATAATTTGAGTCTATTAATTCATTAAAATCAGAGTCATCACTTATCTTAACTAATTGTGAAGTAACCTTTTTATTAATTTTTTTCATTAACTGAGGTATTGAAATCATAATCAATTTTTTATCAAAATATATATCTTAATAATCTTTAACTAAATTAAAGGTTTTATTTGCATTTTTGATATATCTATCTGATTGATTTTTAAGCTAGAAAAATCAGTTTCAATAGATATACTTATCTTCTTATTTTAGATCTTTCAACTTTTGGTAGTTTATCTAAAGAATCGATAATAGAGTTATTCTAATTATTTAATAATTCAGTATTGAGATTTTTAAAGAAATAATTAATAATAGTTTAAATTTGATTATCAAATAATTTTGCAATAGAATTTACATTAACATATTTTGATATACATAATTTTATTAATTTCTATTTTTTAGTAAATTTATAAATCTTTCTAGTTCTATTGATATATTGATAAAAAGTTTTTCATTTGATATCAGGATTATATGTAATAATAAAATCATAAATTAGTTCTTTAACCTTTTTTGTACTCACTTTTTATTGATTATAATTTTATTTATACTTTTATTCATTCCTATAATAAAACTTCTTTAGCATAAAATTTTTATCTAATTAGCTTTTATTCTTTTATTTTCTGTAATATATGCATTTTTATATAAATAGTTTATATTTTGTAATATATTTATTTTAATAATTCTGTTAGCCTTCTGAAACTCTATTTTTTTTTGGAAATTATTTTTCTCACAGCTTATCAACAAAATTTTTATTGTGTAATTTTTCTCAAATCCATCTATAATAAAATCAAATCTATTTTGCATAATAATTTTTGCTTTTTTCTTCTTATTGTAGTATAGATTTTTTGTTCTGAGTTACAAAAGAGGTGAGTTCTTTTTAGGACTTTTTCAGATATATTTTTGGTAGATGATTTATACAATAATTTTTTTCCTATTTCTTTGCCTAATTTTATTGCTAACTTTTCTTATATATCTCATTTAAGAAAGTATCCATTTTTCTTTTTTTATTGACTTGAATTTTGTATTATTATTAAGTACTTTGGCAGGCTGGTCTACTATGAAATTGAAGTTAGATTACTGTTATTAGAAGAATTATCATTTTGTGATTGTCCATCCACACCACAGAACTCTGTTCCACTATTCACAAGCCTAGTCTCAAGCTCCTGACTCTAGATTTGAGTTTAGTATTCTCAGTATCATGCCTCTTATTCTCTTTCACAAACTGTTTTAGAAGTTTGGCAATCCTGACCTTAAGCTCAGCTTTCTTAGCCTTAAGCTTAACGAACTTCCTTCTAAGATCAGAGACCTTAATATTCTTATCCTTAAGCTCAGCATTCTCCTTTTTAAGTTCAGAAACCTTAGCATTCTCTTTCCTAAGCTTGACAATCTCAGCCAAGAGCTTGGCAATCAATTCTCTTAATGAATCAATGAATTGCATATTTGATAATAATTTTTTATATAAGATGGAATAATTCAAAAGTTCGTTAGCATAGATAAAAAAAACGAGGTAATATCCTCATCGGAATTACTGATTTATTGATTTAAAAATAAATTACAAGATTCGATAATACTTAAACTTGTTTTACAAAATGAAATAAAGATTCTATACTAATGCCTGCCAGTGTTTCGTTCATCTAAACTATCTATATACTAACGCGTTATTCCAAAATGGTCGTCAGTTATGCACAGAACATGCAGTGTCGCGAAAATAAATCAACAGTTCATAGCATTAACCTTGGTAAAGACCCAGCCGAAATTTCATGCTGTTTGTATTCCATAAATGTTAGTAAGGTCCCCAGAAATCTACACGAAAATATGATCCATTAGCTTGCAAAACCACAACTGATAAATTATTGATCATCTCGGCTAGTAAATAATATTGTACTGAGACAAAGGTACATACTGCAACACTGCAACTGATGTTCAAAATATTTTTTCCACATTTATCATAAACAGGTAATAAAAGCAAGAATGGCAAAAAGAATATCAGCAATGTCTCAATTTACAGAATTTTATAGTAAAGTGTGTGTCGCTGGAAGCGTAAAATTTGTCATCGACGAAGCAAGTAAAAGAGAAATTAGCTTGTCAGAGAGTGACCAATTTTCTCGTAACCTGGTAACGATATTAGCAAGAAATAGTGAAGTGGTAGCGATCAACTTGAAAATTTACCCAAAAAGTGTAGAATTTACATTTCAAAGAACAGTAGATGGCTTGATAGAGATGTTAAATATATCAACGAAACTAAAGGACTCATGAAAATTTATCTAAAGATGTTCCCATGACATTTGTACAAGCAGCTGAAAGAAAGAATGTGTCTGCTTTATTTTTTAATGTATTAGAGTACTGTTCTGTTAAGTTGAAAACGTAAATTGGACAAACTTAAGAGAGATATAAAGATAATAAAGACGAACTACATATTAAATCTTTCCTAGAATTCCTAGAATTAACGTTAATAATCTAAATGAGACTTACCAAATTTCCGTGGCTTGTTGCTAGTATTGTAAAGACAATAAAAACAACAAAAATTATCCGCAAAGATTCCTAGGACACATCAAAAAAGTGGGATCCTATTCTGCATCTGTGATGGATATCGTTAATTGTGCACGTAAAGAAAAGTATAAAACATCAATTTTCTTGTATAAACTTGCATTTATTGGATCCTATTCATGTTGATCAACCCATATCTTCATGGAATGATATTATCACAAAGTTTATTTCTATTCAAAAGAATCTCGAAGATTTCAAGAAAAATTGATTAAAAAATTATGAAACAAGGAAGAGACTAAACAAGGTATATGGTGGCACAGGTAGACAATTGGATCGTGAAACAATTAATCACATATATTTACACGCAGAGTTGAACATATTGACCAACACCGATGTATTAAGCAAGGAACATAATGAATTTATAGCAGTATCCAAGAAATGTTGTTACTTATGTGAATCATACATCGAATTTTTACGATCCAAAGGATATAAAATTACCGTTTCTGAGGCACATAAGAAGTTGTATCCCGGATGGAAACTTCCAGATACTTACAATAAAGAATTTGTGGAAAATAATCTCTGTGACCTTGATCAGATCATAGAGAGTGCAATAGAACAACATACTAAATTAATTGCTAAGTCTGATATTGATGGAGAAAGTGCTGATTCTGATAATCAAAAACGAAATTATGTTGATGACTAAAGATGCAAGACGGATTAAGGCTAATTACAATCTATGATTCAGATATTCAGTAACGTTGCTTGATTAACAATTTTTTAGTGAGAATAAAGGAACATTTTTATCAATAAAACAAAAATTGCTACATTTACTCTTATAAATGAATTGTCAGTGCTAAACTAACAAAATCTATTTGAGTGGTGGACGTTCAAAGGGAGGAAACATCTCGATGCCTAACCCATAAAATGGGAGTTCCTTCCCGCTTCTCAATACCACCTAATGCTAATTTTTTCAATATTTATGCGCCTATCTAATATGCTTCAATAATTTCCGAAGTAAATTAACTATATCTGTTATTGTTTAAACCAATTCCGCTCAAATATTCTGAGATGATAATATTTCAAATCTATTGCAAATTTCCAGAGCAAAAATTATCAGAGGTAATAAAATAAACAATATCTCCGATTCACTCTTACCTTTATATTTCGTTTTCTCGATATTTCACATTACTGTATGCTCTTGGATAGAATTCACTGCCGGACTTTCTAATTTGCGATACACTGCACCGAATTTCGAAGATTGTATAGAAAATTTTTATACAAGGCTGGAATTATCTTATTAAAAATGCCAAGAAAAAATGTTTTTATTATTACACGCAATAAATAAATACAAGTTTGGGACGTAGCCAAAAAAATACAATAGAAAATTTATATTATAATTTTTATAAGCAAAACTTTATTATTTTTATTTTTTAAATTAATTTGTTACGAAATTTTTACCAATCACAATCCTAAATTTAATCAATCTAATCGCAAAAAAATTTTTTCATCCACATAAAAACCTTCAAAAAATTTTTTAATTCATTTCTTATCCTTCTACAATCAAAGAAGTTATGATGATAACAGGCTGTATTATGAAAAGAGTACCTTGTTTATAGCTTGGGACCAAATGATAAAGTGTGCTTGGCCATTTTACCTTGTTACATAAATTAAGCACGCATAATGCCTATCTGAACAAATTATATCTGAGATTGTTAGAAGTGATTAAAAGAGAAAAAAAAATTTTTCTTTTGAAGGATACTCTTTTTATAATACTTTTAATAGCGAGAATTTTAGAAAGGTTTGATGTGACAATGTAATAATTATTTATTAACCAAGGAGTTGGCTCATTTATTCATTCAAATTTATGTTCAAAGGAAATGGTTAAAAGATCCATAATTTCCACAAATAAATTAAATCGAAATATGTCTTTTTGAAAATAAAAAAAAAAAATAATTTACATTTTTCTCAACCTTGAATTATTATATCTGTTACTCATTCTGCTATTTCTTAAAGATCGATTATCTTCTTGTTGCGTAGGTGGTCTGTAGCTCCAGTGAGATTCGGGAGCTTTATCTAATTCAAATAATTTTGGATCCTTACGTATAGCGTATTCATAGGCTACTCTACGTTCACTTAATACATGTTTAATTCGTGCCATTGATTTTTGGCACTACATTCATACATAAGTGAATAAATAAATGTGTATTCCGAGTTAAAGTTATGAAATATGTAATTACCTTAAATGTTCTTTCACGGAATGCTTCAATCCATAATTGATCATACGTTTTGTTCCATCTTTTTGCTTCCGACCACATCGTAGCAAGCAAGTTACGTTCTTTAAGTAAAACATACCAAATTTTATGTAAATCTTCAAACGATTTACGTCTTAATTCTGATGCTGTCCAAGCTCGTCCTAAAAAAAAAAAAATCAACCAAATTAATTAACTTTTTTGAATAAAATGAAACTTTCTGACATAGTTCTTTTAATTTTTTTTTTTTTAAAAAATAAATCTTAATTAAACCTGTAGTCATTTCTTTAACTGTAGGTACTGGATTTGGTTTTTCGGCTCCTCCTTGAAAAAATTCATATAATCCTACTACCCCTTTACGTGTACTAGGTTTCCATTCAAATAATCGATTTGTAGTTTGCAATGAACGATATATCATTGAAAATTTATTCATTTTTATTTATTATTTATTTTATTTTATTTTTTTTTAAAAAAAAAAACCAAAAACCAAAAAAGATTGATTAAAAAATAATTTATCAAAATTTATCAGATGATCAGAAATTTATAAATAGATTTTCATTCGCATTTAAAAATTTTTATTTATGTCTGTGTATATATATATATATATGTATCCCCAATAAAAATTATGACAAAAAAATAATTTACCAGGTAATAAGAATAAAAAGTACATATAAAAAGCATTTAGAGTTAAAAAAGGGCCAAATAATAAAGAAATAAAGCATTATTTTGCCCTCAAATATATAATAATACAAACTTCAAAACAAAAAATGCCTTATTTTTTTTTCTTTTTGTTTTGGTTCACCTGTCTTTTCTCTCTTGATGATCTCATTTTGTCGCAATTTATTCATTTTGTTTTTCTCTGATAGCTCGCGTCTTTATGCATATCGATCAAAATTCACGTCGATAATACGACCTCCATATGTGTATCCACTAAATTTTTCTGTATAAAAAAAAAAGGAAAAAAAGAAAAATCTCTATAATTAAAACAGGATTGATCCAAAATACAAAGCGTATGTCATCAAATAATCTTACCGACAGCAAATCGAGCCGATTCATTAGAATCAAATGAAACTATACCGGCACCTTTAGGTCTTCCATTTTGTTCTAAAATCTCGGCCCTAATTACATTTCCTATATTATCATCAAAATTTATATAATAAAAAAAGATAAATATTATAAATTATATTGAAATGTCATTTTAATATTAATGAATATTTACCGCAGTGTTTGAAAAGTTCTCTTAAATCGAGATTTGTTGTTGTAAACGGTAGCTAATTTTCCCAACAAAAAAAAGGTGCCAATATTATTAATCCCAAACTTTTTCTTTTAATATAAATAATTAACTTTGAATATATCTGATTAAAATAAATTCCTTGGGAAGAAAAACGACTATCACTATCCTTCTTCTCATTTCCCTCTTTCCTTCAAATCTATCTTTTTTCAATTAATAAATTGTTCATATATAATTTTTCATTGGCGCAGAAAAAATATTAAACTTTAAATATACCATTCCAATTACAATTACAACCACGACCCATATTTAACCTCAAAACACACTCATTTCACCGCCTTTTTGTTATTAAACCTTACATTTCTGACAAAGATTTGATTTCCAGCCGCCCCACCGGCTGCACCAGGTGTAGGGTAGAAACCCGCCGACCCGTCATATCCTGCAGCTCCTGGGTATGGCGCACCGTAACCTCCACCAAATCCACCGGCATAATCCATCATCCCTGCACCTGCAGCGCCGAAATCATTATACCCGCCATATCCATCGTATTGATCTGGAACAGGAACCATAGATTGATAACCTCCTGGGTATGCTGTTGGATTAGGGGCTGGTGGTGCACCATAAAATCCCGCATTTCCACCATGAGGAAAATGATTAGCGCCTCCATAAGGTCTAGGAGGACGTGCTGAAAATCTTGGTGGTGGTGGTCCTCCAGCAAAACGATCCTACGTTATATATGATAAAAGAAAAAAAGTGTATTCGGGAAAGAAAACCTACCAGCTTAATACTTGCCTCTCATAATTGATTATTATTTATACACCGCCCTCACCCCCCAAAAAAAATAATAAAATAAAGGTAGAAGAAACACGCTCATTTGAGCAAAGTTATAACCACCATTGTAAAAATTATTCTTTTTTTCTCCACCCAAATTTTAAACCAAAATAACCAAACAAACAGCACCCCACCTCACGGACTTCAATCCTTCTACCATTCATTTCGTACCCATCGTACATAGCTAAAATAAAAACAACCATTTAGATTATAATCCTAAATATCAACCACCCTGTTCAATATCTTCTTTCTTTACTTCTTTTCCTATAAACCTATACAAATCCACAACATACAAATCGCATTAGAAGCATCCCCTGGTGTTTCAAATAACACAGTTCCCGAGCCTTTAGGTCGTCGGTCAGGACCAACGAGAATGTCTGCTCGAATTATATTTCCTATTTAACCATAACATCCGACGTTAACAAAATAATAAAAAATATGAAAAATGACTCGAATTCATTGATTTCCCTACCTGCACTTCTAAATAGATCCTTTAATTCCTGCCATCCTACAGAGAACGGTAGCTTAAAAATAATATGTATGAAAGAATATATAAATTCAAATGAAACAAACGAACGAAAATTATTTATTCTTTCAACAATAGTTTTCCACTTACATTTCCTACATAGATTTGTCTTCCTGCATTACTGGATATATTTGGATGATGGTGATGATTTCCAGCAGGGGGAAATCCAACAGATTTTTCAGGTCTAATATTTAAACCTGTACCGAATTTAGCCTCTGACTCACGATCCTAAATAACAAGAATGTTTAAATGCAATCCACACAAAAATGAATGAATTATCATTACATATCTGCTAACGAGTACCTCTCTAATAAATACAGGCCTTCCCAGTAAATGTGTATCGTTAAGTGTTTGAATAGCTCGTCTAGCTTCTTCAGGTGTACGATATTCAACAACTCTAAAAAATAAATGAACAAAATTGTTCATGCGTTAGTCACTCGTTTGAAAGAGTTATTCTCCCTAGAAAGTAGATATTGAATGATAGACTTTATGGACTCACCCACAGCCCTACGGAAATAAATTAAATAAATTAACAATAGTTTAATTAGTTATAACATAATATAATATAAATGACAAATGATAAGAAACGAGAGAATTATTCATTACTTTTGACATGCCATTAGGTTGCATTAATACGTCGGCAAATACAACTTCACCCGCTAATATATGAATTATTACGATTAATAACTCCTAATTATGAAACCTTTTAAATCTCAACAAAGAATAAAATATATTATCATGAACCTTGACGCATAAAATCCTTTAATTGTCCCCATTTTACTTCATACGCTAAATTACCAACATAAACACGGCATTCCTTTTGTGATCTCTGAGAAGCATTTATAGCTTCCAAAAATACAAAATGAAAATATAACGCATTTATAATATGATTATCACGTAATAAAATAAACATATAGTTAAAATCTATGTCAAACCTTGTGAGAAATGTTTTGATGACGAGGATAATGAGGATGATGATGATCTCTTTATACTAATGCGTCCTTGGATCGAATTCTTTGATGATGATGATGAAAAATTTTTCAACTTACCTGCCGACTCTCTTGCTGATAACCTTTGACCATAAGTTCTATCAGGTCTAAAATTAGCGTTACGAATAATATGTCTGTCTCTTGAATGACTTCTTTCTCTTCTATCCCGTTCCCTTTCAGAACGATGAGGTTCTCTAGTATTATTATTATGCCTTTCTCTTTCAAGTTCTCTCTCTCTTCGTTCTCTTTCTGATTCATAATGATCATTATATGATGGACGACGTGGTATTGGACGATACGAATCTGTATATGGTTCTCTTGCTGGCGGTGTACGCGGTGAGCGTGTTCTTTCTCGACGAGGTGACCTAGAGCGTCGAGGAGATCTGGAACGTCGATGTGGTGATTGAGATCTACTAGTAGTTACTCTTAAAAAATAATGACCGGGATAACCCAATAGGTTTATAAGTACGTTCTAAAAAAATTCCAAAACTGGAAGTATTAAAACTTCTCGATTAATACCTTCGCCGAGTTCTATATTCCTCGTCATCCACTCTATTACGTCTACGATCGTCTTCGTAAAGTTCTTCGTGGTTATCCAGATCATCGGCAGCTGTTAAAGAATCTAGTGTTGAATTGATTGGATCGTTCATATCATCGGAAGGAGTATGCGGTCCCGAAGAAAGTTTTTCAAATTTATCGGCCATCAAATACTTTTTATTCTCCTATATACGCGAATTAATCTTTAAGTTCTAATACAAAACGATCAGATTCAAGAGAAGTGGCCTTTGGATTATTGGAAACTTGGACCAATCATCTTTCAATTCGATTTATATATAACGATAAGTTAGCCAATCAAAATTCAGCATCAAAATTTAGCAACAAAAAGTATGATCACGCGACTTCATGATTTATTGGACATAAGTAATAAGGTTAGGATAGGCTTTATCAAATATTTTTTACTTTAAATAAATTTTTTAATAAGCAAAAACCATTTTAGCTTGTATTTTATAAAGTCGTAAGTAGATACTGTAACCTAATAATAAGGACAAAATTATATATCCTCATACATTTAAATATTTCTTTTTCAGAAAATTATTACATTTTAGGGAAGTGTAAAATATCTATCACCTATTAAAACATAATTTAATTAGTTTTAAATATTCAATCTAATGTTTTAAAAACTTTGTAAATTTTCCTTACCAAAATCACCTAAACCAGGTATAATATATTTCTTCTCATCCAATCCTTTATCGATACAGGCCGTTATAAGTTTAAGTTGGGAATATTTTTTCGTAACAGCATCAATACCCTCAGGAGCAGCAATTAAGTTCAAAAATAATATTTTATCTTCTTTTACTCCATGAGATAATAATACTTCTATGGCTTTAATAGCAGATCCACCAGTAGCTAAATAAAATAGTTTCAATTTAGTTACTTATTTATTTGATTTATTTTAAAAGATAAGACACATATATGTGTTAATACATACCAAGCATTGGATCTAACAAAAGAACATATCGACTTTCTATATCCGGAGGTAATTTGGCATAATAAAGCTAATGTATTATAATTTTATATAAAATAAAAAAAAAAGGAATTGGTATTTCCAGATTCCATATAAAAAAAAAAGTTTCATGTAAAAAATTAATTACCTTGGGTTGTGCCGTCTCTTCATCACGTTGTATCAAAATCTTTCCGATCCTTACACTCCTAAATTTGAACAAAAAATCAAACTAATGAAAAAAATCAAATCTACAAATATCAAAGAAAATTATTCTTAACCTGCAACAATCGCGTAAGCCTTGTTCCATAGCTTCACCTGCACGCATAATAGAAACACCACAAATTTTGCCCTTGAAACCAACACCTTTGAATTCATTACCTAATTAATTATTAATAGACGTCAATAAAGTAAACTAATTCAAAAAAGAAAAAAAATTCATCCCCTATTGACAAATTACTTGTTGGGGTGACAACAGTTTTTTCCACCACAGGTAAATGATTTAACCCTAAATATCAAAAGAAAAATTACATTATATGTAAATTTAGGACAAAAAATATATATATATGTTTTTTTTTTAAAAAAAAAAGAACCTTCTTCCACAAGTAACCTAATAATTCTATCCGAATAGAATATAAAGTCACCACGATTCGTTGTTTTGTCTCGAATCATGGTTAACAAGGCTTCTATTTGGTTGGTTTCACGAAGACATACTACATTAGGAGGAAGAGGATAGTCGGATTTCGGCTTATAAATTATGAAAGGAAAATGGTTAGAAATTACAATATAAAAACATTCGAACAAACAATTTTATGTACCATTATTTTTAAGTTTATTTTAAATTTTAGTGCTAGGTTGAAAGTTATATAGAAAGTGAATTTAATTCAAAGGAATCACGTAATTATTTAATGATTATGTTTACGATTTACCTAATACAGTGTTGACCCTTGGCCATTTGGCCATAGCCATATGACCTAACTTTTTTAAGCCAAAAAATTATATAAAAATATTTATTAGTTTATATTTATAAATTAAAATAATAAAATAAATTTAAATTTATTATTAGGAAAAAAAAATTTTACCCGATTTCTGAAATTTGATTGGTTAAAAAAACAAATTTTTTTCCTACCCGGTGATCTGGGAAAAAAATTTACTAAAAAATGATAAAGATTTTCCTTTATCTGATGATTTAGATCGATTAGATACAAAAAACCCCTTAAACTATAATTGGATTAGCATAAATCTAAAATGCTAATAAAATCTTTTTTTTAAGAATAAAATGCCTTCTGTAAGCGTTAAAGTTGTATTAAGTGATAGAAAAGAAATACTTAACTGGTAAATACATCCTATTGTTGGTAACATCTCATTATATGAATTTTTTCGTTAACTGGCTACTGAAGATATTTTATCAGAAGTTTTTATTAATAAAAATTATTATGATCTTCTATTCAAAGCAAAAGTAGAATATTCATTAAAAAATGAATTGTTAATGTTAATATTTAATGAAATTTTACAAATATTTGGAAAATTTGTTTTATCTGAATTACAAATTCCAGAAAATTATCATCCACTAATACAAAATGAAAAAAATGCATTTAGAGTATTTATCTCTAATTTCATTACCTTCTTTTTAATTACCAAAAAAGCCAAATAAAAAAAGATTTATTATGTCAAGATATAATATGAATGAAAAAAATAGCAGAGATTGAAGTAGTAGATTAGCTGTAGAATCAAAGGGTAAATAATTTATTAGATGTTATATAGTATATAATACTTATAGTGTTGAAAAGATAAAAGAAAGAGCAATAAACCCTTAAAGAATTTGAGAAATTTTTTGATAAATTAGATCTATCAGTTATAAGAATGTTAGGTCAAAGTTTGATTATAATTGTATTAATAGGCATATAAATTTGCATTTTAGATATTTAAATATGCTATGAATAAATAAGTCTTAATTTACTTAGCTATATCCTCTATTAGAAAAGTTTTCCAAATATTTAATGAAATATTCAAATATTTACATAAACAAAATATTGAAATAAGCAGAAATTATCAATTAGAAAATCCAATTAGATCAATAGATAATTCTATTAGCATTAAAGTTTATAATGATACTAGTTTTTTTCTAAACTCCTAAACTAAATATAATTATGATAGTTTAAACAATAAATTTTTTACTTTACCTTATTGGAAAACTTTAGATATTAAACAATTTGTACCTTCAGAACTAAGATAAATAAAGTAAAATTGTTAATTAAAATCAATTAAATTATTTATATTAACTATAATATTATTTAGTAAAAAATAAATGTTTATTTATGATTGTCTAAAAATTTTAGTTATAATTTAGTATTTTTATTATTCATTTAGAAATAATGTATTTAATGTATACTTTTTGTGATATGTTAATGAAAACTTAAGCAATAAATAAATCTTATACAATTTGTAATTAATTAAAAGCAAAATACCAGTTTATTATATTCAATTTATACGTATATAATTTAAAAAAAACTAATTTTATTTTAAAAATACTAATTAAAATTCATTAGATCCGTACTTTATATCAAGAACTAACTGATGATTCTAATTCAATTAAAATATAACAGAAAAGAAAATTATACTATATACAAATAACTTTAATTAATAGAAATGATAAAATAATAGTTGATTAACATAATTAAAATAAAAGTAAACCTGAACAATATACTGAATTTTGAAATTATATTAAACAATATCTAAAGAATATTTGGCAGTTGATGATAGATTACATAGAATAGTTATATACTTATCATATACTATATCAGTATAGGATTTAATAGATCAGATCAAAAAGATTTGTTCTTCTAATTCTTTAATTTTATCAAATAATAGTTACAATTTAGTCCTAATAATAAGCTATAAAGGTATCAGAATATTATATTAAAAGATTAGATATTAAATATATGATTCAGATGTATCATTTATGTATAGATCATCTTGATTTTTATTATATATCAATATTATTTTGATATAAAAAAGAAATGATGGTTAAATATAGAGAGTATTTAAATTTATTTTTTCAAAATAATAAGCATAATGTAAGTTTGGAAAACTAAATCATCTAGTAGTTACTGTAGACCATGAAAAATCAGTAATTGTAATTAAAGAAATAACATTTATTGTTACTGATTATGATTTTACCAAATGTAACCTTATTTTAAATATTATAATATATGTAAAATACTAGAGTCAATAAACAAATTATTTTATCATAATAGTATTAATGTGTACTTAAAAAATCTTATATTTAAACTGTCAAGTATATTTCAGAATTTTATAATGTAATAACAAAAGAAATAAATAAAGCTTATTTGTTTTTATATACTGATAGTAGACCAGATTATCAAATAAATATATTAAAATATAGATTGCACTTATTAGTTTATTTCTTACATTAGATTTAGACTATTTAGTTGTAATTCATATATCACCTGATCATTCATGAAAAATTTAGTAAAAAGAATAATATCTATTTTAAATTTTGAATTATAATGTGTTAATTTTATATGTCAAAAAATGAATACAGAGTTAGAAAAAATTATGTTGTAATACAATAGTATAAATAATATTAAAAAAGTAGCAAAAAAAACTTCTAGCTTAAAAAAAATCTTAAAGAAAGTTTAAATCCTATAATAATTTTATTAAATGATATATTTTAACATTTACAATTAAAAAATAAAAAATTTGAGACCTTTGAAGTTGTAACAGAATTGAATATAAATATGTTATAAAATACAATTCTTTCAATAAATTTTATATTAACTAAAAAGGATAGAAGTTAGGCGAATATAAAAAATAAAGTGGATTCTTATATATATTATAATAACTATTATTTAACTAAAACTTATTAATTTATTTATTTTAACTTATTAAAGAATTTTTGAATATTATTGTCATATTCAATCCTATTTTTTCAATAAAAAAATATGAAAATATCAATTATAATTTATATTTATCGATTAGAAATTCACAATATATATTTAATTTATTAAATCACTTACTTAATCCAATTTTGGTAAATAATGATTATTATAAAACTTTGATGATATTTATAGTATAAATACAAATAAGACATATTGTTTATTTATACAGTCATATAAGGTAAAATTAAATAAAAATAAAAACAAATAAAAGCAAAAGTAAAATAAGTAAATGCTATAGACAGAAAATATATAAAAGGCAAAAAATGTGAATATAACTATAATATGTATAGATTATAATAAATTAAGATATTTGTATGTTTCTAAAAAAATTATAGAAGATAAAAAAAAATTTTAATAGTATACCTAGATGCTATATATTATACTTATAATGATACTTTCATTTACTAAAAGTCTAAGAATTTATTAAAAAAATTTTTTTAAAAATAGCATATAGATAAAGTATTGGAAAATGATAATATTTTATTTGATATAGAATTAAAAGATAAATAAGAAGAGAAAGAAGAAGTACTAAAAAATAATTTAGAAAATATGAATATCTGTATTATGCTAAATAATATAGATTAAAATTTAAGAAATATTTTATTAAAAGTATTTGTAAATGCTACATTAATATGTTATAATAAAATAAAAAAAAGCTTATTATTTAGCTAATTTTCTGCCTGTATACTTTAATTGTGATTCATTTGAATATATAATACCTATATCTAAAAAATAATATCCTTACTATATATTATATATTGCAAATCTAAATGTAAAAATTAAAATAGATTAAGGGTTAAATTTTTATCAGATGTTATTTAATCTAATAAAAGAAAAGGTAAAAGTAAGAATAGAGTAATTTTTTTTTAATTTTAATATTATTTTTTTGGTTTTATGTAATATTTAATAATTAATATATTTGTATATATATTAAATATCATTTGCATTATAATAATTAAATAATAAAAAAATTTCTAAAATTTTTTGAATCTAATTAGTATTACGTAGCTAAATAAAATAAAAAAAATGTTTTTTTATAATTTTTATGTGATATGTCAGCTGATAAAAAACTAACTTTTTTATTTATATAACCTTATATAATATTAATTATAAAATTTTTTTATTATATATATAATATAATATTTAAGTATATTAGAATTATTATAATAAATTTATAAATGATAATATTTTTATTTAATATAATCTTAAATAAAATAAAAATAATAACGTTATAATTATTTTATAACTTTTAATCATAATAAATATAAAAAAAAATTATATTTATGTAAATTTAACTATAAATATTTCACCTTATTTTTTTAATATATATTTAACATTATTATATTTAGTTCTTTTATTTATATATTTATAAATAATTTTATATCATATTAGTAAAATTATATATACAAATGAATATTTTAAGTAAAAAAAAAGTGAAGATCAATTGAAGAATAAGATACTAACTAAATAAATTTGATATAATAATGTTAATATTATATTATTTGAATTTGTTTATTTTACTTTTATTTTATTATTCTCTTATCAATCTGATACTATTAAGTTATTTTAATTAATATTAGTTTAATATTATAATAATATTTTGCTAATATATTAATTTGATAATATCATTTAATATAAAAATAATTTAATTAGAAGTAAAATTTAATTTATTTAATATCTATATAATTAAATATAAAATTAAAAAATAAATCTAGAGATAAATTTTAAGTTAATTTGAATTAAATTAAGAATTAATTATAGTAAATTAGTGATAAATTTGCTGATTTAATTCTTACAATTCAAATTCAAATTAATGATTATTATATAAACCTATTTAAAAAATTATATTATTAGTATTAGAAATAGATATCACTTCAAGTGCAAAAAATACTACATGAGAATTGTTAGATAATAATATATAATAATAATCAATAATTACTGTAGCAGGTAAATCAGAAAAATATTAAAGATTTATATGATTTACTTGATCATCAAATTTACCAGTTC